TGCTTTCTTTACTGAAGGCTAGAGAAGAGAAGAGACGCATATACCTTCATCGTGATGGTGAGAGAATGCTGCTTGGTGCTGAAGTGGTTTCAGTGCTCAAAGTGATGGACTTTCGAGCTCTCCTATCTAGTGAAAGAAAGATGGAGCAAGTACAAGACCTCGTCGATCTTTTGGAGGTTCCTAGAGTGTTTGGACAGCCATGAGTATTACGCAAACGAAAGAGCCCATCTCGCATCCTGATGCGGGGTGGGCTTTTTGCGTTAGGGAGGAAGAGGCTTCACGTCGAAGGAGGAAGAATTAGAGCTCCTTGGCTTCCTAGGTACAAGACGGGAGTTGGAGGAAGCCAGACAAGTTGGACTGTCGACAAAATGCATGGATGTATTCGGAATTCCTCTCCCAAGCTGGAAGCTCGGGACAGCTCGTTGCCAAGAGAGTCTCTAGGATCGGTTGGTTGGAGGCGTAGGATTCGGAGTCTTCCGGAGCCCAGCACTCTAGCTCATTGTGATGAGACTCTACAGAACTTTTCCAATGCTTTCTAGGATGTAGTCAGATTCTACGAAAGAAAACCCTATAAGCTGGTAGGGTACATTTACCTCGAGAGGCAGAAACCTCCAAGAAAAAAGACCGAAAGGTTTCAGCTTGCCAGCATTATTGTAGGGTCAGGGAGGAGACCACCCATGGTATGAGCGAGGTTGTTGAACCACCTTGTTCGCCTTGTCAAGTGGGTCAGGCAGAGAGGATGTGGATAGGCGAAGGCAACGAGTACCAAGTGGGCGAGTATGATCACTGTTAGATGCCAAATCGAAGCACTCAATAGTGGTTCTGCATCCCTGTGTGGCTCGAGACAAGCTTCAGAGGCTGCGTAAGCCTTCACAAGATGCCGGACATGTCTGGGGAGGGGGTAACATCGATCAATCAAGAGGTCGCGACTCTCGAGATTTGTGAGGATCGAAGACATTTGGCTCTGCTATTCTGCATCATATCTGCCAATCGCGAAGAAATTTCGATGATTTGACAGTTGCGCCACGTGCCCTTCGATCGGCTGCCGCGAGGAGAGGAAGGAGATCAGTTAGTAACGAGCAAGAAGAAGCCTTACCTAGGAGAGGGAAGGAGCTGCTTACCAATGCATGTTAGCAACATCAGTCCTGGTGCGCCAAGTGTGCGCGGCGATGTCTGAGATGAGAAGTCACAGGCCGAGCTAGACTGCGCCTTGAAAGACCGTCGCAGGGATACTTCACAGTCCTGTGATGAAGTTATACAAGAGATGTCTGAACTTGGTGAAGCTCGGATGTATTGTCTGCGCGTAGTATGAAGGGGTCGGTGTACCCTCTGCTTGTTGCTTTGAGGGTTATGTTTATGTATGGAAATTTTGATGTTGACATTCACCATTGCAGGTGGGTAAGATATCAGGTTAGCGCGGGTGCAACATCTTCCATATCTGGAAGGCACCCAACACGACCAAACAGTCAATCGATGCGATACATGCTGTGTGGGGTGCCGTGCTTGCAGCACTTTTGTTGTTGTTGTAAGAGATCGGGGATTTGGATGAAGAAATTGTTAAGAGATTTGGGAGTTGAGGACGAGACGAGCCCACACATGCTACTAGGAGTCTTTCCGATACTAGTCCGAAGACAGCATCAGAACCAAGATTTGTCATCAGACTACTATTCCCTAGTAGCGGTCTCAAGAACCACATATACGACCCCAACACTGTGATTTAAGTCGACATCCAGAAGAGCGAGACGTTTGAAAAAGAGAATCCGTCTCTTACACAGCAGGCAGAGGAGGAACAAGAGTCGGTAGAAGAGCTTTACAGGCGATGGAGCACATATGGCTATCGTTGGTGAAGAGATTGACGGTCCAAATTTGTTACCACATCTGGAGGTAATTACTTCGAAGGGATGGAGGCTGACCGATTTCGTTTTGAACAGCGGGTATTGCGGCTTCAGGGAATCTCCCGTTCCTGCTTCAGCTCTCTATTCATACGAGAGCAATTAGTGGAGCCACACAGCCACTGACAAGACAGGAGCAGAGAACAAGGAGAAGTTGAACGCCGGCTGTAGTTCCATGTCTTATTTATAACCAGATGCTTGCACCTTAGGGAAAAGAATTTACCTGGTACTATCAACGTAACGTCGCGAGGCGACAGACGCTGCATCTGCTTCTGAAGAGACTCGGATATATTGAAGAGTTGAGGCGCCTATCAGAGCATCCACAGTCAAAGTCCGTGGCATGGAAGTATTACTTGAAAGTTGTACAGCTTATTGGTCCAACAAGCCCTTAATGATAGCAGTGTAAGAAACATAGCTGGATCAAAAGGTCCCATCTTTGCTATACTCTACAACTCAAACACACGACCGGGAGCAAGCATTGATCTCGGAGCAGGAGTTGATTCTCGAGACAGGAAGAAGCTCCACTTTTTCATTCGAGCAACTCTTCAGCTTGTGTAAAGCGGATTCCAATCTCCAGCAGCAGCTTCGGCGTCAACTTGGTCAAGTCGGCAGTACCTTTCACGTTCCACGATTAATAGGCTCTTCCGGCCTTGTTGTGATTACTGGATGGATATGATGTTACTCGAGAATCTGCCTGGTTGAAATAATTAGTATGGTCTCATAACATGGCAATAGCGCTTTTTCATGAGGTGGATGGGTTGGTTTCGCGGTGTTTGTGAGATTTGAGCCGATCAGGATTGGCATGCAAGCTCGAACCTCGAAAAAAGTGACTTGGCCCACACCTGTGACTTGCCGGCGCTACTCAACTCCTTCAGAGGATTCTGCTGGGAAAATTTAGAGCTGGTGTAGACCCTCTCTCAGGTTTGACCACGATGCTCTAAGCAGGAGCAAGGGGAATCGTGAAAAAAAGGAGGGAGGGGGGAAATGAAAGACCAGCCCCCAACCCCCTTCGTCAAAGCCAGTTGAGTCGAAGAGGACGTGAATAGCTTGAGTTGATCCTGCCTGGAACTCTAGAATAGCTCCTGCTCCTTCCCTAGATGCTACTTGACAACAGATTCCAATTTCTGTCTTGATGTGACAACCATCAATAAGTCGCAGCTGACACGAGTTGTAGCATGCTGTCGTAGGAGGGGAGGCTGGTCACATTCCTGGGAGGCTTTTGCAGATGTACGGCCGTTTATCCCTTTTGTTCCTTCGTTGTCTTCGGTGTGGACTCTTTCCTTCTCTCGCATGGATCCCGAGGAACGCTTCTTAGGTAATAAGAGACTTGAAGATATGATAAGCCACTTCCAGGTCCACAAACTGGGTCTGCCATGTCCTGCTAGCCAAATTTTGGTATTTGACTGGAGCCAAAAAGGGTTCTGCGGTCGATCCGCACATCTGCCACTCGAAGGCCGTACTGTGTGCTACAAGATCTTTTTGAGATACATTTTGGAAGGTTGCTTTCTGGTTCTGAGCTCTTTACTCCACGTGCCTCACAATTAAAAGGCCCGGTAGCCCAAGGTACCGCACGACAGTCTCTCATCAACATGGTGGCTTCTCCTCGGCTTGCCCAAAGTGATCTGGAGTCCTACGCTGATGATGCTGCCGTCTTCAAAGCAGCTTCAGAGGGCTCGTTTCTCTGCTCTTATGAAGTTCCTCTGCTCCTGTGAAGCTCCTCTGGTGCTCCTCTCCACGCCTTCAACGAATTTTCCTCACTTGATAGCAGCCACCAAACCAGAGACAAACGAAGTCTGTAGGAGATCTGCAAGCAAAGTTCCAGTACTTTATTTGAACTTTAGCTCGTTAATTTACTGTTCTGAGGCTTCGTGTTACGCCTTGAGAGGTTTGCAGAACGTTTGACGGTGTTTTTCTTGCTTGGCGTGGTCCCATCAAGCCGACTTGACAATTCTAAGACGGAGATGATATTGAAATGATTCGATTGCTCTCGAGAGCCAGGTAGAGGTAGATGTCGCGCCATCGAGAAAGAAGCCTTCGACTTCATTCAGAAGAATCGACTCTGGGAGAGAGGCATGCTGCTTGACGGATTTCAAACCATCGCATGTTTGGCAGAAGCCAGCAACGACACTAAGTCAAAGGCTCCTCTTCACGCCGGCCGCCATTATAAGCTATTGATCCTTTTCAATAGTGAGGCTTTCTAGAGGTTATCCATCTAGATATTTGAAACGTTGACTTTTCACGCAACACTAGTTGACTGGGCTTGTGCGTGTGAAAAAGAATAAAAAAAGATGCTGGTTCATGAGCACGCTGCTAGTAAGTCATTCAATGAAAACTCTGCAGAGACTTTTCCAGCCCAAGCACTTTCAGTTGAAAATGAATTGATAACTACTACACTCGCACAACTTTCTCCCCAAAATTCTGTCACGAAAAGTCAATGAAACTTCAGATGGACGAAAGTGATGGCAGTGTTGACTGAAGTCGCGGCGTTGCCACGGTGATAAACGCGCAGAAAATTTCGACGCACGACCTAAAGTTGGTCTGGGAGCAGGAGCCCAAGGAAGCTCACAATATTGCTTTGCGGCATCCAGAGACATTTCATGCCTCGATGGCAAGGAATAAAGGGGTATAGTAAGATCCTAGACGAAAAATGTTCTCGAGGCGCTCTGACTAGCCCAGATATAGAAAATTCGAGAATAGAATCAACGACAGGCAGTGGAGGGACAGAATTCTTTAGGGCAAGGATTAGCCATCCCTCGTTGTTCCTTAGACCTACAGGGTGACTCCAATCGGTGAGATTTTTACACTCAAGATCACTATGAGGAGCTTCTACGCGAGGCAGGTCTTCGATGGCTCTCCACTCTCCCTGAAGACAATTGACGGAAGTTGAAACTCTAATTTATCATCTTCAACGGGGAGAAGAAAGGCTTCTATTCCTGGCAGAGTAGTTAGCAAGAATCAATCATGTGAAGGGATGCGATGTGAACTTATTAATTGGAGACCCCGAGCGCCGAAGTCGATCATTCCAATCTTCTAGGTTAGGAGCAGATCATGGGAGGTAAGGCTCCTTCTTTTCTTGTCCTTGAACTCCAACCTTTTGAACGATTCAGAATGGACGGCCGTCGATTAGACTTTCAGAGTGTTACAGCAGTATTACCGCGCTTGAATGAGATTCACTGCTGGAAGCACGATCCGCAGATAGATTTCACGTTGCCTGGGCAACAACAAATTCATTGTGGGAACCTCGTGTTTTCGCAACAGCAAATGCACAGCAACTACTTTACTGGTGGTTGTTTTCTTGTAGAAGTGGAGCTTAACTTTAAGAAGTGTACAGACTGCCGGGAAGAGGAGCACAGCCGACATGATTCTGTCAGGAACGGTGTGTGCCTTCCTTTTTCACTAGCACTAGCACTTGATTTCTTGCTATTGTCAGCTCAAGTAGGTATTGTCTCGTTGACTTCTTCAATGGTGAAGGGGTGGTAGGCAAAACTGAGCCCCAAATATGCAAGTCAAGAAGCTACGTCGGGACGAGACACGTCCCATCAGTTCAAGGTATATGAGCTAATCAGCTACCTTGACGGACATTATCTCTGAGTGTTTGCTCTAATGACCAGGTCCTTCGCTGAGTATCTTAAGAAGATGCGAATATTTCTCGAATTCGGGCTGTTCTCTGTGCAAATCAGCAACCAATGTAGACATCCAAGTCGCATTCCAGGTTCCGTGATGGCAGCAAAACAACACTGGCAAACTTCGAGTCGATATGATCCGGGAAATTGATGCATAAACAATTCAAGTCATGAAAATTTTATGGAAATGCTGTGGGATATGGGAAACTTCGGGAATGATGGTTTTGGTGGAGATTGCCTTCAGCCCAGTGAAAAGATAATTGAACAATCTAGAGCGTCAGGCCACTTTACAACAACTTCAAGCGTAATAGCAGCCACTGTTGTTTGATATCATCTGTTTCTCGGGAGCAGAGGACAGTAATTTATGATTGAGGCAGGGTATGGATTCTAAAATTGATGGTCTTCGTACGATTGACAGAATCACTCTGCCCAGGGCAATATTAGAGATAGTGTTGAGCACACCAAGGCGTTTGAGGCGGTGCTTGGTACGAAAATAAGTGTTGGAGCACTTTCTGGCTAAGAATCATCTGCTACCAACTGTAGGTCGTGTAAGACTGTCTATGACACGAAAGGATGAACCTAAAAGGCTTTTCATGCCAACAGTGCTGGACGGCATAGATTTCCGCTAGCTCTTAGCAATTTATCTTCCAACACCTCATGTTTTGCATTCACTCACTTCACTATTGCCCCATCTACTTACCATACCAATAAAGGCTATTTCACTACATTTTGTTGCTACTGCATACCTAAGACTACACATTTCACTATCCCCCTCTCGATCGCAGCTGCACGGAAACCCTTCAAATTTTCACTTATTCACATAATTACGAAATTAGTCATGAAGACATCACCTTCAAGCTCTGAGCCCATAATTTCTCCGAATTTTCACAGCTTCACCTTAAAGAGGTCACAGGGAAGGCGAATGGTGACCAAATGTCTTTTTTTTTCTGTCAGAAGCACAACGCCCAAAGGAAATACGCAAGTGGAGAAACTCCAAAAGAACTAATTATACATGGTATCCTTGCTTCACCCAAGGTGCTCTTGCTACAAAGAGATAGAAAGCAGAACGATAACTCTAGAGAGTCTAAATTTACCAGGATAATGCAAAAAGCGAGGCCAACAGGGCCAAAAACAACCAGAAACTGAAGAACGCCAAAGAAAGTCGACAACCGTTCCGAATTTTGGTTGAGAAAGTCGTCCGCACTATGGAAGCAAACATTATTGAGAGAGTTGACCGCCGATTGTCGTGTATAGGGAGAGTGGAATCGGTTCAGATCATGCTGGTTCAGGGAGCTTTTGTGCCAAGAGATGTACAGCATCAAGAGGAGGTTTTGTTGAGCCGTACCGAGCGAAGATGGCAGACATCATGACCAAGCGAATGATCAGAGATCGGCAACCAGGCTGGTGATATCAAGCCTTTCTCTTCTTGCCCTTCGTGGTGGTATTCTCACGCTTTGGCTCTCCGGATTTATCTCTCCCATGGATAGCACCCGGATGACACTTCGAAGCCTTGATCTTTTCTGCCTCGCACACAACATTTGGGTCTCTAGCCACCAAGCACTGGTTGCACTTCGAATTAGTCCCAATCAGACGGTCACACCATTTCCCCGCAGCAATGCATCTCGTGCACCGGGGAAACTTCATACGCTCGCGAAGCTCCGCCTTTGACAATTCGGCCCGAGAAGGAATGCCGGCGGTAGGTGATGGAGCGGGAAGAGCCCATGCTCCACCGCGAGATGTTTGGATGCGAATAGCTCTAGGAGGAGGGCCTGTTGTTGGTGAAGAATGATCATGGGAGGCAGAAGCATCTTCATGAGCGGTGGAAGAATGGTTATGGGCGGTGGAGTTTGGAGTGGCGGGCTTGGGACCAGTCTTGGTCTTTCGACGCTTGGCTGGCACGACATACTCGTCCTCCTCCTCTTCTTCTTCCTCTTGAGAACTCTCTCCGACCTCAAGGGAATAGCCTTCATCGCTGGGTCCTTCTGGCTTCTCCAAATGAGGGAAGTCGTCAAGGGTGGCGAGCTCTGGAGCAATGCTGGTAGCTGCACGCTTGGCTGGGTTGCGGTCCACCTCCAGTTCGTCTTCTTGGGAGATGCCCTCGTCCTCAAAGAGAGATTCTTCATCGCTGAGATCTACTGTGGACTCCACCCGCGGAGAACGATAATTTCCCACAGGTTCAGGGGTATTCATGGCCTTTCCACGGCTGACTGTCATGATATATTCCTCCACTTCCTCCTCATGAGTAACCGATCCTTCCTCATGGTGAGAGTTACTACGGTTGAGATCTTCTGGTCGCAGATCATACCAATGGTGCTCGTTGTCTGTGTGCCCTTCGTTCAAGGCCATCTTCGTATACTCCTCAATGCCCTCGGGACCCAGGTGTTCCTGAAGGACCTCTCCTTCCCACTCACTGTCCTCGTCATCGTTATCGTCTCCAACCAATTCCTCACCAACAACGACCACCTCCGGGATCTCTTCCTGCATGATGTGGACCCATGCAATGCTGTGGTCCTTGCGCAGGTGATTCGGTCCTCTGTTGATCCAATACAAGATCTCCTGGTAGAACTTGAAGCGCTGTTCGGGATATGCCATGATGACCTCGAGCGGAAACTTGAGCGGAAGCTCAGATGTACGCTCTACGAATCTCCGAACCTCAAAGCGATTGCTCTTGTCGAGGCTAGTACTTTGCCACAGCGGGTACTCCATCTTGCAGTCTTCGATGGCTCGAAGGAATTCGGGATCTTGACGGTCGAAGTGGTACTTGCTGAAGGTTATGATGAGAGCCCAAAGCTCTTGGCTGAATGTGATGTTGCACATTTTGACGAATTGCTTGCGGTAAGTTCGGGAGTTTGAAGAAAGAGCTTCGAATTGAGTCTATGAGGGTGTAGAGGAGTCGGATTGATGGCTGTTGGCTGTTGGCTGTTGAATTGGATGAGTTAGTTTGGCACTCAATACAAAGCGCATCTTATGCGACGCGACGGAATTTGAATAGCAAAAGAAAAGATTTATTTACCTTCTAATTCAAGAAAAACCTTCAAGAGTGTCTTCGATATCGTGCCGTGCTTGAATTCGTGAAGAAAAATCGGTGTGTGTGTTTGGGTGGCTTTGAGGATGTTGTGGTGCAGAAGGGAAATGGTTGCAGTGGGAATGTTTTGAGGGAGATGAGTACCGCAAAAAACACAATGTCCTAGCTTTATGCATAATCTCAGAGATATTACGACGAAAGCTCTCAAGCGGTCACTTTGCGAGCATGCATCAAGTGTGCACTAGAATAAGAGCTGAGAACAAAGTCAATTGTCAGTTATTTAAGATAGACTTATATTTACAAATTCGAGAGCAAAGCCTTCAAAGGTCACTAATCAGACAATGGCCTCCAATCAATTAGTAGAGCCATGGCAAGGCACGCTGATCCTGATAACAAATACAAGCCTTGGTATTTCCAGACCTCATATATGCAGAGCAAAAGCGCCGTGACGGCAGTTTGGTTGACCTCATTGAATATCACCGCTCAACTCGTAACCTTGACCTCACGTAAGAACTGCTCGAGTAGCTCGGTCTCTCCACCGTGATGCTCTACATGATTACGTTTGATACCTCCTCGATATTAGTCTGATTCTTTGTCATTGAGCTTCTTAAAATGGAAGACTTAACTTCCCCCTCGGCGCCATCGAATTTTGGGAAGCATACGCCATGTCTCTGCGGTTACTATAATGCGGCTACAAGCTGTCAGAAGACACCAAACATGTTTGGATGCTTGATTCTTGAGATGGCCCTTCTGAGATTGCTCAAGACGAACAAGTACGAGTTGAGGCCATCGGCATTGCCATCTTGAGACCTTACCAAGAAACTAGAAAATGAAACAATTAAATTAGGGATAACCATTCCTCTGGTCGAGGAATTGCGGGAAGACGTAATGTTTGGGTTTGATGGGGAGTGGATGTGTAGGAGGGCAAAGGACTTAGTGAGCAGATGAGCGAGCGAAAACCATAGGCTGGATATGTCAATCAGCAAATTTCACTTGCAGGATTGTGGTTAATACTACTCCGGGGAAAAAATGTTTTCTATGGCACGTGGGAGCGTTTATGTGATTCTTGGCTTGCAAAATCCATTTATTATTTCAAAGGTTGCTTTTATTCGAGGAGAACGCAAAAGGAGAAGATGTGTGTGATTGACTGACCAAAGTCGCCCATTGTGTCAAGTCCGCTATGATAAATACTCTCGACATGCAAGGGAAAGCTTGCTGCAAATGAATGAAATATGCCAAAGTCTGAAATACCACAAGAGCTACCCCGTTGAGCCAGGCCGTAATCCTCCCTGAATACTCCTTAGAGCTATCCAATTGTGCCAAGCCTTAATCCCTCTTCATTACTCCCCAAGCTGGATTGATGTCGAGGATGTGGTCGTCCAGCTGAGTTCTTCCGATATGCTTCGCAGTGGCAATAGATATCCAAGAAAAGAAGCGCTGCAAACAAAAGAAATTGCCAAAACCCAAAATGCTTCCCCAGAATATAAGCATCTACAACCTCCACCATGCGGTTGTATTTAGACGCCTCGAAAAAGGATTTTAAATAGCATGGTAACACCCTCCTGGCATAATGAAGGACGCCCCCTTGGGTATTCTGTAAAATCTACCGGTAGAAATCTCTCTTTCGACCATGATGCCAGTCTTGTGTCCGTAGTATCCTTTCTTGGTCCCCAGAGAGTCTGGCAGTCCAATGGGGATCTCTGCTTCACACTTGACTCGTGCATTGGCCCCGAACTTAACAACGCAGCTGCTGCATGGCCACTTATGATCACAGATTCTCTTGGCTGCTCTGCAAGGCTCACATCGAGGGAGTTCCGCCTGATCAACCAAGACTGGGCCTGTGTTAGACACAGATTTCCCATTATTGGCACTGTTTGGAAGATCGGTGTTGCTATTATTTGTAGCAGCTGTATTCGGTCCCTTCGCACCCGTAGAGTTGGCATCGATGTTGTTGTTCAGGTTGCTCCGGCTCTCACGGCGAATGCTGGATTCTGCCTCGCTGCTGCCACCCATATTATCATCATCGCTCTCTCCACCTATAAGGTCCTGGTTCTCTTGATGATCTTCATGGTTATCCGCCAAGTCTAGTACTCTCTCGCTCTCTATATCTGGCAGTACGGAGAAAGGGCATGGAGCATCGGGAAAGATGGTGACCTGGAGAGAATAGAGCCAGTACGGCAGCCGGTAATATTTAAATTGCTTGCCAGTCGGATCATGATGGACCAGCCAGAGTGCACAGATCATGAACTCTGCGTTCAGGCCCACGTCTTGGAAGGGCAGGAGCAGGAATTCTGGAAAGTATGTGACGAAGTTCTCAAAAGTACGTCGGTATACTTCAATCCTGTCGAGCTCGGGATCATCATAGAATCCGAACCTGCTCATATCCCAATTCTCCAAGCCGTCGGACTTGCAGAAGTGCAGAGCTCTATCGTAGGCTTGGCCTAGGCCGTGTATGTCTTCGAAGGATCCAGGTTTGGGGGGTGGAAAATTAGGAGGCGCCTCGAGGACGACACCGGTAAATGAAGAAGAGGCGTACATGACGATGTTTGGGATTAGGAATTGCGACTGCAGCTTGATTGAAGTTAGAAAGGGTCTGGGGTTAGGTTGAAATCGCAAGAGCGTTTCGGAGCGGGTACAACTTACATTGAGGTGGGATGAAGGGATTTGCGCAAATTACCGTCAAGCTGATATCTTGGAGATAAAAACTCGACGAGGGTGTGTCAATGCTTGAGAGGTACAGTTCGTGTTGGAATTTGGAAGTCGTGTTGAAGGAAAGATGGAGCGTGGGTTGCAAAACTCAAGTGTATACCTCATCAAAATCTCAATTAGGTCTTGCTAGCGGCAATTTCTTGTCTCACGCAATTATGTCTTAGCAGAACTTAGAAAGTCCTTTCAGCCTTCTGACAATGTCATTTTTCGGAAAGACGAACTTTACATATCAGATATGATCTGGGTGCAGATGAGGGACCCTGGGGCATGTCATTGCCGTTCCACTGCTTGTTAATTAATACACGAGTGACTATTCTAGAGACTTTCAGAGATTAAACCAAGTCGATAAGTCGTACATATGCATAGCTAAGCTAACTATCCTTGAGTTCCGTAATATACCTATTGCCGTTGACTTGATCTCCTCGCAGACAGAGGATAGAGTCATAATCCCATTGCGCTCTGTCGCACACCAGTATCTACTGAACGAAGCCAACTTATGCCACGTCGAGATCTACGCTGGACCAAATTCTTTCCCATCTTTGAGTAGCAAACCAGGCATTTACTCGAACAGTGTTACTCAAGACATGGATCAATGACACGATCACAGGTAGAGTACGCGCGGACACCTTCGGTCTATCTCCCCCATACACTGGTCGAAACCTTGCATTTTGCCTTAGATTTCTTGATGCGGTCAATGATCCTGTGGTCTCTATATCCTTTGGAGAGTATTAATTGTGCCGCTATTGCTTAGTAATGCACCCGGGAAAGCCTGTGATGCATAATTAGAGCATGGTATGAGATTCTTTTGCTGTCAATGAGATATAGCGGGATTCATTTCCATGGCAAAATCGCTAGGACTATAATAGCAGCAAATCTCGTTCAGTCATCACTTGCTCACACTGCGGTGATAATTGGATTGAAGACAATAGAGCTTAGGAGCTTGGGGAGATAATATGGATGAGAATGTAAATTGTTCGCGATACCAAATAATATTAGTTATGTTTAGTTGATCATCTCTATCACTTTACGCGTTAGAGATGGGTTCATAGGATCTATCCCACTCATCTTATCTATCGAACTGTAGAACAATATATCTTAAACCTCAATCTTTTCGGTATGTCACAAAAGCATTGCCACGTAAACGTGAACTAGCTAAAGGCTGCTTCGGGGGTGCGTTGTTTTCTGCATTAATATTAACCTCTATCTGCTGAGTCTCTATGGCAGATCAAATTTGAGACTGCCACGGCCATGGTAGCGGCCTCTGATGACTACTCCTGCAAAACTACCTACTATCACAAGACTCTGGTATATTGCTGCTCCTAGCCATAGAATACTGATTTATTGGGAGAATAAACGAAGAGCTAGCGGCCGCGCAGCCACCTCCTATTACTTACTGTAGTGCGGAGATCCGAACCAATCGATACTTACCGTAGGGGACATGCATTTTGGTCACGTTTCAGAGTCTTCTAGATCACAATTATCACTAATGTTCTCGAGTGTCACAGTTGTATTAAGAGAGGGTTGGTGGGGGGTTTTATTTTTTATTTTGTTGCCAAACTAGGACGCCTTGAGAGAATAGACTCGTCAGTGAGTATCTAAATCTACGCCAGCAAGTCTTCCTAATTCGCAGCCTCAAGGAGAGACGGTATCAGGATCGCAAGCTCGCCAAAAACGCCAAGAGAACACAAGAAAATCCAAAAAGAAAAATGCGGGCATAATGAAAAGGAAAGAAAAAACAACGCTTTTGTGTGAAAATCGCCAGTGACGGACGTGGTATTGTGATCCCAGCCAGAAATTCATTGACAGATTGTACTTCCACACGGGAACAGAGTTCATCCCCATTCAACCTGACCATCATAACTGGCGCTTTTTGAGTCGATGTGGCAATGCTGGTTCTGGCTTCCAAATCCCTTAGTTCTTTTTGGCGAGCTTATATCTAAGAGTGACCTTGGTGTTCTTGGCCTTCTGATACTTCTTGACCACTTTGGTTCTCTTGGGCTCATTGCTCTTGTCTCTTCCGTACAGAAATGGTCGACCATTGACATCAGGCTGCCAGTCTTTGGCAATGCAAGCCACGCCTGCTGGGCGTCTTTGGCATCTATCCCCATTGCCATGGATGCGGATGCACCATCTTCCTCTGCGGATACATTCCAGGCATCTACGCATCCACCAACGAAGGGTAGCAGGGCGCTTGTCGTTGGACATGTAGATTTTACCATCATAGAGGATACCCTTGCCTCTCCCACAACTCTTGCCTTTCTTGACCTTCGAGACTTTAGGTGTGTTGACGAGGTTCTCTCCATCGCTGTCTCCTCCATGTTCATGACCTTCACAAACGTGACCTCCTTCCTCGGGCTTTGATGCATCCTCCAAGTCATTGGCGACAGCCTCCTTGCCGGAAATCTTCTTGCGGTTCACTGCCTTGGTTTTCTTGTCAATCGGTTGGTCCTCACCACTAAAGCCTCCCTGCAGGTTGTTATCATTGATAGGCTGTGGAACCACCAACTCCTCATCGTAGACGCTTCCATCCGAGCCGCTTCCATCCGAGACGCTTCCATCCGTGTTGTCGTCTCCAACAACAGATTGTGGAGCATCCGTCTCCTCATCACTGAGACCCTCATGCATATATCCGTCCTCGAGAACAGGTTGAGAGACGTGCAGCTCATCCTCTCGAGTCTTATCCAACTCCTTGGCGGCGCGCATCAACTCCATGGCCTTCAATGAATATGCACTGCCACCTCCTGCTACCACTCTCTTTTGAAGAAGAGAAAGCCACTCTCTACCCTCGGCACGATCAAGTGGATTGCTAGGATGGTTTGCAGCAAGCCAGAGAACACTGAGCATGTACTCAATTCTAGAAAGTACGGACTGAAGATCCTTGTCGGTAAACTGATCCTTATACTTCTTCATGATATATGCGTAGGTGCCAGGGAAACTACTCTCTTCGTAGACGTTGCGTAGAGCACGGTGAGGAACATCGGTGTAGAACTCATTCGTAGCAGAGTAAGGTATGCCGTTGAAGCACTTTCCATTAGCCTCGCGGAATGCTTCATCATTGACGCCGAACCAGTTGGTATTGGCGGGAATCACTTGAGAAGTAGAGGGGTGATGGTTTGCGTTCTCGTCGAGGTCGGACTGCTCGGAGGCCTTCATGGCGATTGAGTTCGATTCGGCTTCTTCAATCAGGCGGTACTGCTCAGACATCGTGGTCTTGTGGGAGAATGTCGGATTGACAAAGCCCTCATACTTGTACGGCTTGATCTTTTCAAGACTTGCAAGGTTACAGAATTGGGAGTTGCCAGCGAAGGTGTCGAAGATATTGATAGGCTCCATTATGTTCTCGGATCTGCTTTTACTTTTGTTGTCAGCAATATACTTGAAGTAGTTCTGCAATTCTCAAGGTGGAGGATGAACAGTTAATTCGAGAGAATAAATTACCATTCAAAGCAACTGAATGGCAATGAATGATGACTGCCGTCAAGACAGTGGGATACTCTGTTTGTTGATTGGTCAAGTCAAAGTGGTGCGTGAAGAATTGGAAGATGATACTTTGTGGTGGATGTGGAAGGCCGGGAAGGTATATTAGCAATGTAGTCATATTATGCCACGTGCGACCTGGGCGCAAAGTTATGCGACCACTGCGCAGATTTTACGACTTCTGAACAGAGATCTAGACCCCGACCACACAATTATGCCCCGACAAGTCAATGGGCTCTGCTGAAGGGGTGGTTCGGACGATAGGATCTGCGCTATGCCTGGCATTTACCCTCCACGAGGAGGAAGGAAATTTTATCATTTCCTTTTCGAATAACAGGAATGAGGCTTGGATATGGCTCTGAATTTAGCACCAGAAGTGTTTCAAACTACATGAAGTGCCCTCAAAGTGCTAGAGATAACACAAAGCAACCTCTGGCTCAGCCATGTCATCTCTGGGCACAATGTGAAGACTACGAATGTTCTCGGGCACATATCCATCAATTCATGGCAACTACAGATGGCTGAGGGTAGCCTTAGGACGGGTTAGATCTGGATGTAGAGAATCAGGGGATACATATTTCTTTTTTAGGCGTTGAGGTCTCGGCGGGTGAGATTATATTAGAAAATCCAGACAATATGCTTTGGATGGCTGCGGATCTTCGCGCAGTACCATACCCAGATCGTGCTTGAACCCTTCCTCCGACTGTTTTTTCAATTAGCTACTTGAATCTATTTACTTTAAAACGCACAACATTCCATCACTGTTCCTATCACACCTTCCTCTCACAGCATCTGCCTGTAGGCATCAGCACGAGAATCTTGTGTCAAGGTACCAGCTTACTTGTGTTCTTCGCCATCAATGTTCGTCGGGATTAAATAATATCGTAGCTTGATGTCAAGTCAGAGCTGTACCGGAGCCCTGGCTGCACATTCTCTTTTGACGGACGAATCGTAGTCCCCATGCGTGAGCCAGCCCACGTACACGTAATTAAGTCCGTTTTGGTGTTAAGAAAGCCGCTGCATGTGAGTCTAGATACAACAATGGAAAGGGAAGGGAATGATGCCTGGAGATATTGTACCTACTAGAGAGATGAAGACTGGCTGTGGCGTTGGATCGTAGCAATACCGATGAACACACAATGCCTCAATGATATTTATGTATTTGTGAAGAGATTTTGTGTGGTCGTGGTCGTGATGCGGCGACAAGGCTGATGAGACGAGACCAAGTCGTGCTTTGTACCTAGGTACCAACCTAGGTAGTGGATCGAATTGGACATGACGCGAGAAGTGTAGCGAGCCAATCAATTTGCGGCCACCTCACATAGGTATTTACATTTACCCTTCACTAAGAGAACCGAATGTCGCAAGCGAGATTCACCCCTTTCGCGATTTAACGACACACGCGAAAGTAGCCAGGTACCTAGGTACCTAGGTATGTGATCAAAGCTTTCCAAATGTCGGGGAGCACCACCGCTCAATTCGAGGGAATGTTGTTACGGTTTTGTGCTGAAGATGGAGAGAAGTTACAAAGTAGGATTCTCAAACGCGTGATGAATCAGGCTCCCGACAGGGAAAGCGGTCACGAGTCTTAGCTTTGCTGGGACATTAGGACACTGAGAATGTGGGACACTGGTGCATCTCTAGGATCAACTGAAGATGCTTAACGTCGGAAACTGGTGTAGATAAGACCAGAAAGGACGACTTGTGCCTAATATCGCTGCTTAGGCTTCTTGATGGATATCAGCCGCCACAGGAAATTTGGGAGAGTTATGCGGTAATATACCTATCGTGACATCGCAATATCTTAGGCTTTCATAGAAGGGAACTCTACTTTATGCAGGTTCAAGCACATTTCAGGTTCATAATAATAGTTACGCTGAATGTAACACCACGCAATAAATACCAAGTTAAGATGCAGGATATACGGATTCGCGTAGGCAGGTGTCTCGAATGAAACACAACCATAGTCTCTGTATGCTGATGCCTCAGCTTAAGCTATCCATGATCACGTCACGGGAGGAATAACTGTTAGGGATGCCACCATTTCCGTGCCTTCAGAACTGATCAAGTTTCGACTTCACAGAATCTGAGTACACTTCACTACTATCACAGTTTTTGCGACTAGTTCTTCAAGGAGCTGAAGCCGACTGCAAGAAGTTTCGTTGACGGTAATAAGTTCTCAACGGAGACCTTGGTCACGATAAGGTTGGTACTGCAGAGTCTGTTGGATGCGAGATACAGAGCATTCTCAGCTCTACTCTCAAGACGAGAAAACGGGACAAGAGCGAGGTGTACTCTAGTTTCAAAGCTTCTACATCCAAGAAAATGGCTTCAATCAGATATTCGCGATAGTCGGTGAGAGTTCCAGTCTTATAAAAAGCCACGTCGGCGAATCGACTCTGGGTTACCTGAAAGAACTCTGTCAAACCTTTGCTTTTGGTGGATTAATGAAGTTCCTCAGCTATCGTTAGGTATTTCATGATGCAGGTGGCAGTATTGATAGCAGTTTCTCGGTCACCTAAGGAATCTTTAACATACTGGTTGTCAGAGAGAAGATCTTTCGGACTAGGAAACTGAGTATTCAGGAAGTTCGTGCTTATTGATCTCCATCGTCCATTTCATATTAGGGCAGGTAATTCAGGTGTGATCAAAACTCTCAATAAATACATTCTCACGATTATAGAGATCAAAGGAGGTATGAGCGCAACTGACAGCAGTGTAACCCTCCTAGATCAGCCTGCCTTGGTTTAGATTGTCATCACAAACGCAAACACAGCTGACCTGTGCTCGAGGTCAAGTAGGGTTGGTCAAGTGTTCAATATGAATTTATAATTTGCTTGAGATGACAGCTGTGACCACATATGAGTGACACACCTCTATTCCTTGATTGAAAGACCTGTGACTCGTGAGCAATTTTGGTTTGTACGTTTCTTAGTGCTGGGCCAGAGATATATGTACACTTGGGAGACGCAAGTCTCACGAAGACCTTCCTGAAGATCAGAAGTATTTAGCGTACATAGAGCATAGTCTCTATACTGATTAGCTCCCTTTAGACAACTCGTCTGCGCGACCCAATGCATTTTGTGCCAACTCGGCTATTGTATATATTGCACAAAAATCCATCTCTTGACTGCATCATCTCCAGAATAAACAAAATCTTCACGAATTACGCGCCTGCAAAATGATTTAATTGCAGTCAAGAAACGACCATACTTGACCCTTAAAAACATTTGCGTCCTTTTCAACGTGGAAGTACTAGAGTAGGTTCAATAACTCAACGACCCAATTGTGTTTTGCGCCTCGAGGACTGACAACGCATTGAAGGTACCAGCTCCCACCATAACCAGACATATTTTCGAATCGATCGCAATCCCTTAGAATCATACAGGTAATTGTTAACTTCTTCCTTTCTCGTATGCTCCTGACAAGCTTGCGCTTTGTTTCTCCGGGTAGTATCAGGATAGCTTTTTCCTTCCCTCGCACCCTCAACAAGCAGTCTCGAACTCCGATTAATATCGAGACAAATACTGACGGAACACAATTGACAGAGCAATGGCTCCTCTTACTCTTCCATCCAAGAAGCTCGACCGCGCTTACGAAGCTGTCGTCAAGCCCATCCGCAATTCTCCTCATCAGTTCGAGCGAGTATACCACTACCACTATCGCAAGGACAACCACGAACGATTCGCCACCTATTTGAAGGAGTTGGCTTGATTCTAGGACAGATTCCCTAATGAATTCCCTGCCAAGGTCACGGATACAGATGAAGACCGCGAGGAATATCTCAAGATGAGCTTCTTCTATCACATGAACCGCCCACATACTCCTCATCGCCCTCAACTGTCATATCCAGAAGTTATCTTACGTCTGAAAGATGTCCTTGAAGAGGTTCTCAACCAAGAGCGAGGCTACAAGATGGCTATTAGCACCCTTGATGGCAGCGACGAAGAAAGCTCGGATGTGGATGAAGAAGAAGAGCTTGAGGACGAGGAGGGCGGCAACCGCGACGATGAAGCCATGGTAGAGGATATAGAAGAGCATCAAGACCATAAGGATCTTGTGCCTGACGGATCTGAGGGTGATGAGTCTGATCATGATGAGAATAGTTCGGGCAGTGAGGTTGAGGAGGATGAAAATGACGAGAGTTACGAGAATAGCATCGTCGACGAAGCAACCATGGTGGAGGACGATGAAGAGCATCAAGAGGATGAGGAGGTTGGAAACAACAAGACCGGCAACAACGATAGAAACTCCAGCATTGGCGAAAGCTCTATGGGAGCAGGTCGCAAGGACAAGAATCGGAAGGCGAAGGGAGGTCCAAACAAAGTAAACAACATCAAAAAGGGCAACAGTCTTCGACCCAAGCCAGACGGAGTGCCAGCACTGGTTAAGCGCTTCACAAGCTCCTTGGAGGAGGCAGCCAAAGCCTTAGGTATCACCAAAAAGGCCGCTGCCGCAAGAGCTGTAAATCTAGCTACATTTCCTCACTGTACGAAGTGCAAGGGTCGAAAGGTCGGCTGCAACCGCAGACTGTGGGGTCATTGCCAGAATTGCCGAAATGACGAGCAATGCAAGCCTGAGCTTGAGCGTTATAGAACCGCGAGAGGCATCTTTGGACAAATGAGCAAAGAGATGGTGTACGAGATATGATTGGAGCAGCCGTGTTGACAGTCTAGGAAGACCTTTCGACTTAGAATGATATCTGAGATAATCGAAAGAGTCACTTGGATATCTTCTGGATTGAAAACAGGTCTTCGATACTTCAGTCACAAGAAATAGCCATGTAAAGGCGATTTCAGAGCCTGACTTGTCATTTGTATCACGACTTCAACACTTCTCATCGGCACGTGACACCCACTTCTTTTGGTCACCTAGGTACTATAACGAGGTCGATGGCACCAGTCTGTTGTAAATGAGAATGGGTTCTTGGTTGAGACTTGGGGATGGCTGTTAGTTGATGCTTAGGGTTCTCTCGTTTGCCTTTGGTTCTGGTTCTCCTTTACCTTACTTTGCGTTAGTTTTGGTGCTTTGGACAATTTTGTCGACCTCGAGTCGTTTTTCTTTTGGAAACATGTAACTCACATACATTTAGATAGTCAGAAACACGACTTCCAAAAAGTTGGAGTGAGTTAGTACTTTGTCATCAAGTAGAAATGGAAACAAATTCTCTCAACTGACTTCTCTATAAAGTGCTTCTATGGCTGATCTTGATTCGTATAAACAAGTAGGTAATTTTAAAGTTTTGGCTAATAATAAAGGAAAGCTGGAGGAGCTTTGCGTAATCAAGTGGAAGCGCCCTCTTGTTAAACAGGGAGGATATAAGGAAAGGTGATCCCCTCTTCTCTTCATCTTCGTGAAGTCTGGCAGCTTTAAGGAGTCTGTTTCACCCACCACTGCTTACTTTAGCTTCTAATGCTAGGGTTAGGTTCACTGGAAAGGAAACGAAAAGAGGGAGAGGAGAAAGGAAAGAGAAGTTGATAGATAGACTTAAATAGATGAATAAACTCATTGACATAAGAAGAAGGATAAACTCTCGGATAGACGAGAGTTTCAGCTACCCGTGCCTCGCCTATAAAGAGTTTAATGATCGTTCATCGCCGACAACTAAATTGTTTTAACTTCCGAAATGCGAATAAAAAAACAAAAAATCGTATATTAATTATTTTTCAATATAAAGCTTTAATTTTTTTTTTGAGCTCGAGTTAAAATATAATATATATATATAAATTTTTTTTTTTATAAATTAATTTTTTAATTATTAAAATATTATTTTAGAAAAAAATTTCGACGGCTAAAATTATAAACGATATTTTTAATTTAACATAATAATTATCTGTATTTTTGCTTCTCGCTTTTTAAAAACACAAAGAGTTTCGGCCTTTTTACAGTGTCGAAATATCGATATATTAGTTGGTCTCAGTCGCAGAGCTCCCGGCGCTTTTCAAGGAAACTGAGACATCGTGGCTTAACAGCGAGGTCGAACTTAGCGATATTTAGCCAGATCGTGTATTGTCGTCGAAAGAATGCAGTACCGCCCATCTGTGTGTCTCTGCTTGATTCGTCTGAATCCACAACATTTCAGTAATGAACGTCGAACTGTAGAGACGTTGACGCTGTACGGCCTCTCGTGTGTATATCTTCTCGAAACGCTCTTTCTTGGCAACCCATATGTTTCTCTCTGTGATTGTTGTGTGGTCAAGCGATTGAGCGGTAAATTCTCAATGGTGCGAATCTATCTTTTAGCATTTTGAGATCCGAGATCTTCTTCAATCGGTCCAGTTTCGAGCCACGTAAAAAGAATTTTGTCGAAAACGGGCATTTCCAAGAAATAAATTGAGATCTGTTGGTCAAAAGCAGTCGAAACTTTAGGGTGCTGGAGATCAGCTGGCTAATATGGTCGACTTATAGATTACATTAGAGAGATCTGCCAGGATAATCAATTAGATTAAACATACGGAGTGGTCTCTCTCATCTAATATGTAGAGAAAGTATTCAGGGGATTCTTTCCACATCTTTTACACAGATATCAGCAAAACCCTGACCATGGGCAAGGCAATGTCTCAAGGTATGAAGAGAGAAGGGTAGTATGCACGATAGTACCGAGAAAGGTTTTGCTTCCTGCTATAGGAGTGAATACGTCTTTTATTCCAGCAGTTTTACAATCCTGGGAAGGTCAATGTTAGGCTATCTTCTTCATATTTCAATATAGCTTTGTGATGATTTATTTTTGTTTCAGGGAGACCAGGGAGAAGAATTTACGGCCATGAGCGCAACATCAAGAAATAGAGACACCAGTTAGCCACATATATGGAAGAATCGTCTCGTGTGTACAAGCTTCTTTCTGAGCTACTTTAACTTTCTCTTTCTTTATGCCATTTTATATCATTTCCTAGGCACAAAGTCATTACAGCCTAACCAGGGAACTGTCAACCGAGTTTCTAAGGTTTCAGATCTCGAAATGATTCTGTGAATGACCGACACTATCTGAATATTCTACTCTATTTAGATTACTTTTCACTGAAACAATTCTTTCATCAAAGTCATGTATGTCCGCTTTCAGAGATCGTTTCCACAGTGCGCCCTCCATCAGATATCACACGATCGCCTGATTAGCAAATTGCAGCTCTTTTCCTCGTTCCTTCCTCGCACCCTACATGACAAGCCCTCTTTCCTCCGGAAACAAACTCCAAACTCTCTTTACCCTTTTCTCCTAGTTCCATCTCGTCACCTGCATTTTGGCCATCCCTAAAACACTCTCCTAAAGTCCGCATGTCTTCGATCTGAGGTTCTCGGATTGTTTGTTCCGCAAGAGCTTCCTCTGCTCGCATACGGGCAAGTTGACGTTGAGCGTTTCGAGCTTCTCTCTTCAGCCGAAGGTGAGGATTTCGTAGCTCTGCATATGACCGTCGCTCAATATGAGCCGCAAATTTGCTGCACTGATCAGTTCCCCAGCACAAAATTTCCTCCGCGATTTCTTCATCGGACGCGAGTCGGAAAGTGAATGGGTGACAGCCCAGGTAGCATTGGACGAAGTCATGGAAGTGTTGAAGTTGAACTGAGAAGTCGTATTTCAAAGTGAAGCCGAGTATATCGACGGATTGATACGAGCCAGGGCAAGACTGGGCTGAAAAACAGGAGTTGGGTACTTCCTGAAGCTGAGTCGGTGACAGAAACGCGTGGGAGAAGCACGTTGGGCTCGTGATCAAAGCTGTAAACCCTTCGAGGCTGTGGTAGGAATTTTCGCGACGAGTGTCGTCGAATGGCATCTGCGCGCTGCTGACCATAACTGGAAGGATGGGCAGAATGCTTGAGATGTCATTTTGTAGAGCTTTCGTGGAAATTGTAGTGTTATGAAGCCAATGCTGTGCTGCTGTAAATCCGAAAGTATCTTCGGTCTCCGATGGTGTTTGCATGGCGGCTGGGTTTGAAGAGCATTTGGCAATCGACGAGAGTAATGTTCGCGACTCTACGACTAGAAGGATGGTGGAACGCTTTGTGTTATCAATTGTGAGCTGTGTGTTCTCTGTGACAGAAATTCGTTTAGCACCATGCACCTCACGTGAAATTCTGGTTGAAGTTGAGCACATGTTCTGGAATTCTTTGGGAGTCCACCTTTGCGGGCCACACTTCCTCCTCCATTGAGCATACCAATAGCGATTTACTAATAATTTACTGATTAGAGCTCCGGTCGTAAATAACTTTGGTGTAAGTATTGATTGTTTCATTTTAAGAAGAATGGATAGTAATATTTTGAATTAAATATCTGTGAGGAATCAAAATGAGCGGCACGTGTGATACGTAATGCATTCAAAGCTGGAGAGCCCTGTAGTCCGAATGCTCACTCGTGAGCCATCTTCGTATCCTGTAAACTATTAACATTATCTACGGTCTACCAAATATCATTTCTCTGCAATAGATTTCCTCCACAGGACCGAAAATGGCAATACATCGGAGTTGCCCCTATGGACAATCAGTCTCGTACAGCCTCCTCTCCAAGTGATGTACACGCCGGCATACCTATTCTGGAATCCTAAGCCACCTTTCCCGTCGCCCTTATCTCTACAAGCCACACTATGGGATGGTAGCTCCTCGTGCTAAATCTGCGGATCTTTGGGCATAGCAGAGTCCTTGATTGATGTTAGTAGCAGGAACTCATAGGAATCGAGTTCTCTTGGACTTCGGTGGTATGGAACGCTGAAATAAGGTAAAAGACTCAGTTCAAAATTTTCTCGTGGTAGTGTAAGAAATCTGTCTCTTTCAAGACCCAAATATCATCTTCATTGAAGAAGAAGAAGGCTTTATCGAACATGTGTAGCTGTCACCTCGATGCTTCCTCTGGTTTCATCACCTGAGGTAAGGCTGGAACCTTCTTTGTCCCCTCCTGCTTCACGGCGGCATGCTCCCAAGGAACTTCGATTTCCAAAGCTCTGTGCCGTCTCTTTCGTTCTATATTTCGAGCATTCTTTACTGCCTCACCCTCATCCTGTGACTGCCATCTTCCGAGGCATTCTGTGTGTTTGTGGCTGCTTTGGTTCCCTTTCTCCACTCTCTCACACTGTTCTCCGGGACTATCGGCGTCAAGGTAAAGCATGGTGAGTGAGTAGACGTATCCGCTGGTGTATAGGCATTGACAGAGACTTGCTATATACCTCCTCTTTGGATTTTACATTGAACAGGAACGTGAGTGTCATTATGGTCTATCAGATTCCCATTTTGCTGCGCGTTCAGAGAGAAGCGGGTAGACTCGTGGGCTTTTGGTACAGCAGGAATTGGGCTTTTTGTTAATATACTATCCGAAAGTGACTTAGTTGGCTATTAATTATTGAGACGTCTATCACATATTGTTGAGAAAATTGCACCTTTCCTGGGTGTCGAGGCGCTTGCGCTTCTGTGTGGTGCTTCCCGCGGATTCATACTATTGTCGACCGCACGCTTGCGCTTCGGGAATTTTGGAGCGTCTTGGCTACATGAGACTGACTAGGTTGTACCGCTCGAGAATACAGAAGAAATTCCTTTGTCTGATAGGAGCCTATTTGCTGAGGCATTCGCTGAGAAGGAGTTCTTAGGGAATATCAGGAATCTCCAAGTGAACCAGGATCTGCACGTGGTATGACGCGTCACTGGCAACAAGAAAAGGATTAGAATGAGATCAGACAACGTGTTTTAGGACTCCATCGTCCTGCCAAATCCGTACGTTGATAACAGTAGCCTCAGCTCTATTGGTCTGATAAATGATACGTCAAAAAGGCTAGCGCACTTATGTTGCGCACTAGCATCGCATTCCCTTTCCATTCCATTTGCGCCTTCAAACCCCACAACGAAATATTCCCTTACCTTTGACACCAAAACAAAAGAGAGCCGGTAAGAAGCTTCTTTACAATTTGTTCTAGTATGTTCATTTGGTCCCCTTCGTTTCCGTGCCGAAAGATTACCTTCGTGTGTTAATATGGTTCAAATTAGAGGTCAATCAAGCATATCCCGAACACGATACAAGTGTCTGAACAGAGTATTTTCGCTATGTCGACTACTCCATACAGCGCCGAAGAAATGGAAGCGATCCGCATTTGCCAGCGATCTGGATTATCTCGAATAGTACCAGAAAATGAGGTCTACAAAGGAGGAGAAGAAGGAACACGATGGTGGGTAAAGCTACAGATGTTTGACCCTGTCACACTTCCAGAAGACTTCACACAGATACCCAAACGTTGCTTCCTTTCAGATCGCGTGGTCGGTTATCTCTGGGCAAATCCCGGATCCATTGGCGTTGAGCTTCGACATCGTTATTGGCCTGGAGATTTTGCGAGAGCCGGTAGGCTCAACACCTTCAAAGAGGTTCGTGCTCACGTTGGACTGCCTGCAGTCACTACCGAGGGCGAGATTGTTGCCGTCCGCAAAGGAACTTCCTCGAAATATTCCTTGCTAAGAGGATCGATGGAGCTCGATGAATTGAATCGCCCGCCATACAACTTGTCTGGCCCGCCACTTCATTACATCCCTTACTCTTATCAAGAGCTCAACGGTGCCCAAAATCGTGTCAATCACTCTCTAGTGCTTTCTATCTTCCAAGACATTGCAGCGCCAAAAACATTCGCAAACGGAACGATCAACCTAAAGCGAAAGATCAGATGCGAACGGCCAACGGAGGAGCTAGCTTCTCCTGATGCGTCGCTATCGACTGGGTCTAGGGCACTGAGAAGCGCGCGCCGTTTAACTCAGCGCCTCAACGCAATTCAAGAGCAGATTGAATCCTCGATAGGCGTGGTGGAAACCCCTCCCGTTTTACATGGAACACGAATCCCCTCTATTCCAAGTCCTGGGGTCGCAGAACAATCTCCCGCCAGATACGAGTCAACCAATAAATTTCAATCATCACATTCTCCATCGAATTACCAACAGGGTGGTACGCGTATATCAGTCGGACTGGACTCTCACAGACCGTCAAGTGCTCGCCATGAAAGCGCACCGCCGGACAATCGATCGGAACATTCCGATGAAGAGGTCGGTCCCTCTTTCAATCCACAACGGCGAAGCATGTCCCATAATTCGAGAGACCCCCCTTCCATGCTTACATACAAACCTTTGTATGTAACCCAAGACGCTAACAGTTGGAGCACGAGCACATTGAAAGAATTCCTAAAGACAGAATACGGAGTATCTCAGCAAGGAGGCTGCTTGTTTGGTGCCAATAAGATTAGCGGCAGAGACTTTATACAGCTGCAAGAGGAAGCTATTCGAAATCTAGTTTTCTTTATCCCTGGCGACCTAGAAGCTGTCTTACAAGCTCATCGATCGCTCTCCATAGGCAGGACTCAGCGGATCGTGGATAATCTCCAAGTTCGAAGTTCAGGCGCCACATCGGACGACACATCGCCCAAAGTGCCACTTGATCGTGAGCAAGATGAGGAACGTTGGCTGAAGCGGACCGAACGTGAATTCATGCAGCAAATGCAGGTGAAGCCTCAAGGAAACGAAGTATTGCAGACCGAGGAGGACAGCCGTAGTGTGAAGGACGACCACTCACCCTTCCGTGCCAACGATACACCTCTCAGCGTCTATGAGCAAACCAATGGAGAAGAGTCCGACATATATGGTGCCTCACCAATTCAGAAGCATAAACGAGCAGCAGAAATCGTTTCAAACACTCCTCCAGTGCCATCAACCCTGGGTGATGATGACTATGATGACAATAGATCGTCATCAAACGCGCCAAGCTCACCAGCGCCTGGCATCGAAGAGACACCGTCTCCACGCCATGATCTTGATTCCGCACTAACACCTTCAGGCTCACCAGCTTCACCTTCTCCAGCTCTGATTGCGCGAGCTCCATTCGCAGATATACTCGTCGAGAGCCCTTTCTCTCAAAACGAGCTTAAGAGGCCGGCTTCGCCATTCTTGATCAAAAGCCAGCACCCTCGGTCTTTGTCTCTGGAGTCACAATGGACCACGCAGGACTCTAACAAAAAGCGAAGACGAAGATGAACATGGAGGGAGATTCTGACTTTATGTTCCGCTTTTGAGGGGGCAAATGGAGGTCCAGAAAACAGGGTAGTTTTATTAGGTAGTGAGGCTTTGTAACGACTGATGATTTTCTGTTCTGTTTGCGTATATCGCCCGTACTGGGTTCAAACATTGGTATGTTTGGAGCGAAGTACTGTGTATCTAGTTCCCTTAATATGACCGGTCCTGGAAATATGTCTATTTGTAGGTGAGGACTCATAGCCACGTATTTCGTTCGACTCTTCCTATCCCCTCAAGCGCCAATTCGGTCAGGAACTTTAGCGCGAAATCGGATCCGCAGAACTTCAGCGTTCTTTAGCGACCAATAGCCTAAAACTTTAGTGACTATGCCCCTAAATTCTAGGTTGTTACCGCGATATATTTTTGGTGTTTTTGACAAAATGTCCGTGTATCACTAATTCCGAGCTAAAATTCCCGGCTAGTTCTCGAGGGGAAATTTTAACCTAGGTAAGATGCTTGTGCTTGGAGTGGCATATATAGAAGCAGGAGAAATTCTCCAGACAAACCTCAGTGACTTGCCCAAGCACCACTGAACTGTAATTCAAAATATATTGCCTTAAAAGCTCGAGGCGACTTTAGATTGTGGTTCTCAAATAAGCCAGACAGTTCAAATAAAATTAAAGGGAAGTCTAAATTGCTTCCTCAAGAGTCGATCCTTTAGATTGCTCCGCACTTGGTGCTTAGCTAGCTTTTATTGTCTTGCAAGGTATGAAACAAGAAAATCTTACATTCTCGTTCTTATTATCTCCAATTTCAAAGAAAAAATGTGCCATGAAGTGAACTGCCGGGGAAGATTTATGAAGGCTTGGATCCAAGTCCAGAGCCAAATCCAACTAAAGATACAACAACTATTGATAAGCCCTGCAAACCTTTCTTATTTTCATCACACCTTACTTACTTGCTGGCTTATAGTACTTGAGCAGTTGGGGGTTACGCTCTGCAATGCGATGGAATGACACCATTGTGTTCTTATACATCTATGAATGCTCACTATTAACGATGTTATATGTAGGGAGATAATAACTTCTTACCTGCCCTGCTGTCAAAGTCGGGTATGGAAGTTCTTTGCTTTCTTTAACCATCTCCGGAATGGGCTGTGACCTCTTAGTGGAGAGACAGGGAGTTGACGTTAGAGTTCACGTGCCTTAATAACAGTTTCGAAGTTGGCACTGAAGAAAAATGGGACAGAATATCGCTCTTGCCCTGAGTGATTAAGCACGCGATGCATGGTCGAAACGTACAGACCATTGGTCCCTAAAGAGTCACTACAAAACATTCACGGTCAAAGATTGGCATATACGTACAGGTCTGTAGTTGGTCGCCTACATTGACGATAAAGCAGCCTTTCCTAGGAGGAGCAGAAACCCACTACAAGCAGTTGGTATGATTTCTCCGAGCGGGTGCAGCAGATGACGAAAGCGAACGAGCGAAATCTCTCGCAAGTGGCAGCATAGGGGAGTGCATAGGTTATGAAGATGTTAGTCGCTGCTGGTGTTGCCTACGTATCCATTTTTGTTCAAGACTTCCAAAGCACGACCATCACCTGGAGCTAGAATTGTGAAGACTTGCGAATCAGATCAGCATCACAGGCACACGTTTTTCTTCACTTGCTCAAACTCACATTCTGCATCAGTATGGCCATCTAGCCAAAGATTCGGCTGCCCGATTTCTGGGGTGGGTAATGTGCAACGAGAGCACTGCATCCCGGATGTGTCAAGACTGGCTCAAAGTAGGATTCGTCCAGATCGAGCGAAAGGGCCACGTTTCGGGCAAGAATTCGTGCAAAAGCTCGAAGCGTCCTATAGTATCCTGACAACACGGCTTCAAAATGAGGTAGTTGTCGAGGCCATGGATTGTCTCCACGCATATGAGTATCGATGAATTCATCATTGGGATCGTCATTGAGCTTGGCGTCATGGCCCCAGTCAAAAGCTTCGTTCGCATCTAAAGGGTGAGCGCGTATGTACAAGGAGATCAGAGAGACAGCACTTTTAAAACACGAACATGAAAAGCGAGCTAGTGACATAGAATGAACGTACTGCCTTGCCCATCTGGTCCAGATGAGCCACTTCCTCCCAAAGGAGTATATCCACGATAATTTGGCATATTATTGATATATATCTCCATCTTTTCATCGAATGACAAGGCAAAGAATTCTTTACCGCAGTCGAAAACCGCGTTGACCAGGTCCTGTGAGATGCCATGGTTCTCAATGTAGAAAAATCCTACTCTTGTGCAAGCATCGTAAAGCTGAGCAGCGACTTTCTTCCTTTCCGAAATGTCTGGGTTGAAGATGCCCGCAACATCGATAAGTGGGATGGTATCGAAATCACCCACGATGGAGTCTTCAGACGACACGGTATTTGTGCCGAAGTTTCCATTTATTTTGTTGTTTCCGCACCAATAATTTTCATCAAGGACGGTGGTAGTTGTTGACATTTTGATCCGGCGCGAAAAACCTCAGTGTTCGAGGAATATATAAAATTCTTGTCTTCAAAGCGGAAGGCTATTCTAGGTGCATGTGTGATAAACTGGTTTTCGAGATTCATCATGGCTGCTATGGGCTGTTCATTTCTCATCAGAAATGGAAGGGGAGAATGCGAGGTCGGGTAAACTTCCTGGGTTGGAGAAACCACCAGAACTGATTCTGCCAACCAATCGGAAGTCATCCCCCACTTCTGGTGCATGAAGATACTGCACTTCACGATCTTCACCTCTTCAAGATAAGTGAACTACTGGTTGAAACGTTGGGGAAATCTATAAAAATTGTGTAAAGTCTTAGGGTACTAGCGGCTAAATTCCAGGCTTACCTCCCTAAAGCTAGAAAATGCAGTATTTGGTTGGCTCACTTAACTCATCCACAGACCAAGGTCATCCTGGTGGCATAGGGGATTAGATCACTCAAGCTCTCCGAAATGCCCTATAACTGTACGCTAAGAGCCGCATAACACCCAATATCATGACATTGAGATTAGCATTAGGTATGCTATCCGTTTCACAGGTCTGCAGTGAGGCTCAGTGCTAGAAATTTAACCATATCGCTAAATGATAGTGTTGATAGGCGGGACCACACCTGGGCAGGATAGGGGAACCACGTGATACACGCGTAGTTAGAAGAAAGTGTTTGACGAGATGAAAATGTACTAGAACTATTTTCCTACTTTTCACGTTTAATATAAAGGACTATAGCTGATCTTACCTCACTTTTTTACGTGATATCCTTTACCTTGCTTGGTTAATTCTACTATTATCTGCTAACCGACATTGTGTCTGTGCAGAAAAAATCTACGAAGATGCTCCTGTATACGTACCTAGGTAATTTTCTCTGTCAGAGGGCTTGTACGATCTAGGAATATTAATCAAATTGCAAAACCCCAAGATAGCTCTCGGTTCTGTGTCGTAGCAATATAATAAGTCACATCAGCTCGAGGAACATCTTCATGGAAATGGATGAATTACTCCGCTCGCTGAATACTATACTACATGATAGCTTCGGCAGTTCTTTTCTTTGCAAGATCTCCAATCCCCGAAAGCTATCCAAGGAGATTCTCTGGCTCTGCTTCCCCTCGCTTGTCCCGTTCCATTAGGCCCAGGTGAAATACGATATCTAGTAGCACAGGCTTAGGCTTCTTCATCATTAGAATTGCCATCATCGCCACGCTTTCTCTTTCTAGATGAAGGCTGAATGCGTCGAACCTGCTCAGGAGCTCCACCCTGTAATTTCGCCAATCTCCAGCCCTCACGTCGTTCTTCCTCGGTCTCACCCCACTGCTCCAGTTGTGCTTGCTTTGCAGCTTTCTTTACTGGATCCACTCGACCTGCTTTTTGCATTTTAGATTGATAGACCCTGGTGTCTAAACGGTACTGGTCATCCGCATCACTGTCCTCTTTGTTTGCTTGCACTCTCTTGGATTTTTCTTCGGGTGTCTCATTTTCCTTCCGGAAATCGTTGAATTGCTTATAGAACGTCAGATCATCCTTCTTGGCATACCACCATCTCTTGGCGACCAAAGTGCTTGGGACACCTGCAGAGGGATAGACTTGTTGATAGAACAAGATGATGTGACGAATCTCATGCTCGAGGAGTTCTCTTGGGCGAGGCGCAGTTGGTCGCTGGAGTGTGGCTGGTAAGCTTCGATTGGGTGTAGTACTCATGCTCGTGTCTGATGCGACCTGAGTCGGATGGGAGAGACTGGCAGCATATGGCTCCGAAGTTTGGCTCATCATTCCAGATCGACCTTCATTCGTTGATAGTTGGTTAGAGGGGCGTGGAATGTTTTGATGAAGGCTGCGCGGAGATTGCGGCGGACGAGACGACGTGACATTGCCTTGGTACACTCGAGGATCTGAGACTCCTCCTGTTAGATTGGGAAACATTCATGCCGAGAGTATTAGCAGAAGCTACTTACCTGAAATCGTTGAGAACGGTTGGTTCCTGTTCAGAGACATAAAAGCACCGGCTTCAGGTTGCGCCCTGAAGGTTGAAGATGGGGGTTGGCTGATGGCTGGCGTTGGCGCATAAGTTTGCGACAAATCATGCGAAGTATCCGGGTAATAGCTCGTATTATTTGAGGGTGTGTCCCCAGAAGGGCTGTACTTCTTGTCTGCCATCTTGTGGTAGACTTGTACAATTTATTGCATATAGAGATTTGTATTTGAAGAAGTTGGAGGCTGAAGGTATGGTGCTCAAAGATTAGCGGGAGCTCGAGGACGGGAAAGATTTAGCGAGCGAGCATATGGCACTGTCTATTTTTTGGCATACTAGCAGATTTGAAGTCACTTCGGCGATGTCACATGTATCTATGATCTCGCTCAAGCCAGGCGATTTGTCTCTCTAAGAATTCTTTTTCGCTACGAGTCTCCCAGTCTAAAGTCTGTCCAACGAAAAAATACTCTGAAAGAAGTCTTAATTACCGCAGTGCAAAGTCAAAGAAAATCCCAAAATCCGCAAAATCAGTGCCTGAACCAAAAGACCAGCAAGTCTCACCCAAGACACTGAAAAGCACCAATCATGTTGCCCCTCTCCCTAGAAATTTAGACATATAAGAAGCCTACTCTGTCTCCTTCACTATCTTGTCCCTTTATTACCCTGTCCATCGCCCTATTCTTCCGCACCTGCTTCGACATCGTTTTCGGCTTGAAGGAAGTCTTCGTTGTATTCGCCTTGCTCAGCATTATGCTGTGTGGTGAGTCCTACTTCCTTCGCTAAATCAGATTGACGCTGCTCACTGGCGGCGGCTTCTCGTTCTGCTTTCTTAGCAATAGCAACCTTTCGCTGATAAGCCCTCCATCGACCGAATGCTTTGTCGTATTCTTGCTCCTTGGACTGGTGATCGGTGAGTGACTCATTTCTGAGAGCAACCTGCATGGGACTCGACAATAACGTCACGAAGTTGCACCACTGATTGTGGACATCCCGGTTGAACTTAAGTCCGGCACTCCAGCCCCAGCACCACTTCTGGAAGTCTTCATCGCTCTGCGGTCGTACCTTGGCAGGGACCTTGGTCTCGACGGTAGGATAGAAAGACTTTAACAGCTCAATCTCATGAGGGAGCAACTTTCTGAGACCAGGAAGTGTTGGGCGAACTTGTCCTTGAGCGCCCATAACACGAACATACGGCTTCCTCGATCGATTTCTTAATTGAGTACGCGGTTCGGAGACGGGGATCTACGGCCTTGCTGGCAACGAATTCGTTCTCTTTTACAATCGTGCTCTGAGGAGGTAGTTGTTGCTTTTTGTTTTTGGTTGGCGCGTCAAATATGATGATTCCAATTTACAGTAGCCATCAAGTTGCGAAGGGTAACTGGACGGTCTATGATGATCTCCAGCTTGGGACTAGCGCCAATAAAATGAACCACAATTATTTGCATGTCTGTACTATGTTTACCAGTTTATCAGCCGTTGATCGCAATTATTGGGCTCGATTGCTTTAGGTCTGAGGATTGAAGTTCTATAGCTTTGGCTCTATGGGTCTATGAAGTCCACCTCAACTACATTCGTGCATGGAAGCTCTGAAAACAGTAATAGACTTTATCTCACTGCATATGATGACCTAATTCAGATACATCAAGTCACTAAAAGGGTATGAGAAATGAGCTGTCAAGAAAGAGGTTTGATTTACCGTATCCCGAGTCGCATGGCTAGACATTAAATGCATATACAAATCTTTTCAAATTATATCTCTCGGCTTCGATACCGGGTTTATTCCTCCAGTGAATCATCGGTGATCAAGGTTCATTGCTACCTCCCTGTTAATCCGAGATTTCAATTTGTTCACGGAACTTCAGAGATCCGGGCTGCAAAAACAACCCCAGGAGATACACTATTATGGTTTGGTGGCATTGAAAGTTTATTACTTTCTAAGTACACACGGTCTAAAAATCAAGTGCCCCATCATTTTGCTCCTATCTTCCCCCTAACGCCAAATCCCGAAATAATCTCAACCCTCAAGAAGCTCTCTCATGCCTTGCCACTCTTCTCCTTCTTCTTCTCCTTTCTGCGCAAAGCTCTATAAGCCGCAAAGTCTTTCTTCCAGTTGGCCTTTGCACGCTCATGCTCCTTGTGAGATTCACCCACCATTGCCTCTTCCTCAGCAGTCGAGTTCGCCACCAGATACACGCACCACTCATTATGGATGGTTGAGTTGTATTTGACGATGCTCCAGGACCAGCACCAGCTTTCGAGCTGTCTATGACCTCTCATAGGAGCATTGAGTGGTTCAATAATCAAGTAGAAGCTCTCAAGTAACTTCAACTCATGCTTGAGTAGCTTTCTGTTGCCTGGCTCCGTGGGGCGTGTCTCACCATCTGGGCCTACATATGGCACGTATCGGACTGGAGTATTTTTCTTTGGCTTAACTCTCAACGCCCCACTAGTATCTTGACTACTTACAGACTGTTGAACCAAAGCCGAGGAAGCCATGGGAGCAGGGTTCATGTCGTAGCCATTAGAACTTGGAATATGTACTTGTGCTTGTCCATGATTGGTAGGGTCATCATGAGTGGCCAAGACCAGAGAATCCATGTTGTAGTGATCAGGGCTCATGCTATACGCGGTGGAGGTTGGTGCAGGCACTTGTGCTTGTACTTGATGATTAGCCAAGGCCGGAGAATCCATGTTGTCCTGAGCAGGGGTCATGCTATAAGCAGTGGAGTTCGGTGTAGGCATTTGGACAAATCCATTATGAATAGTATGTGGAACGGAAACCTCGAGTCTCAAACGCTCTTCATATTCCTCGCCCCTCTCCAAGAGGTCCGTGTCGATGAGGCTGTTGCCAGACGTGGAAGTCATCTCTGCTCTACCAACGATCCCACTCGGACCAGGAAGACCGACACGAAAAGGAAATTCCTCCGCAGCAGCGTGAGCAAGTTCGGTACCACCATTCGGCATCAACATGCTCGAATCGAGGTCCGGATAGTATGATGTTGAGAAATCAGAATGACTGAATGCTTGCTGCTGGTGGTTTAGAGAACCTGTCGTCGTGGCTGCTAAATATCCGCCAGTATCAGGATCTTGGAATACGTTGCCTGGAAGTGCAAGAGTATTGAAAGATTCGGCGAACCCAGCGGCCCAACCGCTTTGGTACGACATTATGTCTAAAAAACACACAATAGTTAGTCCCAGTTTCTGGTCTCACAGATGCAATGTAGATACGCACCAGAGATCTCATCCGGAACAACACATGCACCCGTAACGCTGGCATAGCCATCCATGTAACCGAATCGGTATTCGTTGTCTAGAAACGTCACAGTTAGTCCCATTTCAAATTTCACGGTTGCGACGTAAATACGTACCGAACTCTCCGGCCTGACTGTCACTTCCATCACAAGCTTTCAATGAAGATCCAGCACCAGTACCAGCGACATAGTTTGCGTCTCCTGAATAGGTAACTTGATTCAAGATAGGATGTGTCGCAATGGCACCTCCACCACCACCATTCAAGAGAGGTCTTGTACCACCAGTGGCATAGTTCGACTCCCCAACAGAGGTAATTCCATTTGGAAGAGGATACTCTGGAAGGGTATGTCCAGCACCATGACCAGTAGGATAAGCCCAACCACCCATATGAGCAACCTCATTCAATGAAGGAGTTAAGCTCGTGGCGTCGGTGTTACGCGAGCCTGGAGTGATGCTTTGGCTATCTTGCGATGGCAAAGGAGGGTATTGAGATGCGACTAACTCGCGAGCACGAGATATCATTCTGCTCACCGGAGAAGGGAGAGGTTCGTCGGGTTCATAGATCATGTTGATCGATTTGAAGGAATGTCCGAATGATTCTTCTGGTCTGCTCAGCAACAGTCAGCTTTACGATGGCGCATATAACTAGGGTCCAGTCAGACTATTTCCGAAGCAGTTTGCAGTCAATTGGACGCGCTTTTAGAATATCAAGGACGTAATTGAAATAGAGTATGATGGATTAGAGGGGTTGTAGTAAAAACTGAATGCGAAGATACGTACCCAAAGTTGCGCTTTGAGATTTGTCTCGAAATTAGATGTGTCTTCAAATCGCAAGAGTAACTGTGGAAGCTTTCTATAGCTACCACCGAGAGGAGAACGTTGATGATCGAGTTATCGTTGCGGTTCTGAATTGCGTGTGGAGATGTTTGTTTTTTGTGAGATGCAGTAGAGATCAGGGCAAGATATGTGGGGGTCCAAGTTGACGAAGAGGGCTGGAAAGCGCTAAGCGGGGAGTCGACGTGCAACAAAGCTAACAAGACTTCTTAAGTGGATCTAATCTAGATATGCGATGTCAAGCTTCGAATTTCTCTCATGAGAGACTGTCCAAAAGCCAGGCAGATAATGATTGTGAGACTTACAGACCACTGGGTGCTTGGATTTTGAGTAAGAAGCTCGAGGATAAAGCTAGATTGTTTTAAATCTATTTCTACACCCGACTGGTGAAAATGTCTCAACCATTTACTATTCGGGTCTACCATTTGCGCAAATCTAAAATCTACTACAGCACTTACATGGAACAAGTCACATGGAGCGAGTCATCTACCCGTAGCTCACACATCCTCTTTCCATCTGGGGAGTGGAGCCTCTAGATTCGATGTGAGGATGGGCATGCTTCTGCGAGAGACTCCGAATGTGCACCGCTTTCGCCATTGTAGGGCGCTATCCCAATTACCTCAATCTAGAATTTCCCTGGCGATACCGCTTCCAATAGGTTTTTTTCCGCCCATTTAAAATTTTGTTGTTGGTGCTGATCTTCTACCTGAAGCAGATTTAATCTATATAACATGGTGCATACCCATCGACAGACAAGAGGGAGCCAACAGCTCCCCCGGTATTGAAAATTGGAGAACTTTTTCCGAGGCAACAATGGCAAGAGACTGGACACAGAGAGCGATATAAGCTACTGCGGTAGAGGTGGAGCTCAAACTCAAACGGATGGATGATGTTGTCGTTAAGTGTTGAAGCTCTACGAGCCTTTGGTACACTGTCCAGAGACTGGGTCAATTAAGGCGTCCATATGTTCGATATTGGTCTGCCGTGGAGGACACATATAGTCAGCGTAGCTTACACTGGCACGGGAAGGGACATAACGGCATTGAAGTTCACAATTAAGTAGGAATCGTATTTCGCAGTAATTCATATGCTACGGGCAATACCCTTCTCATTGCAGATGTACGTGCCATCTTGGATCCCGATCCATGAGTAACCATGCCACAAATCGTAATCGAATGTGTCATCGCTTACAGAGATGACACCAAATCCGCTGACAGCGCATAATACTCCTCTTCCATCTTCGCACTAGATCGTTCCTTGCTCCGACTGCTCGAGGGTTTTCGTTCGCAATTTGGGTGCACAGCTTGAACACTGAACGCATCCGTACCCTCAAGTCCGTCTCCAACTCTCACATTCCCCTCCATGATTCTCTGTCCGATCATCAATCCAAAGCATCTGTCTTAAGTCCTTCCGCCAGCTTCTGAACTTTTCTATGTTCAATCGGGAGAGCGGAAGTGTACATTTCTTTAAGCTGCCATGGTCAATAGCTGCTTCTTCATCCCTATCTCCTTAGTTTCTGTAAGCTACTTCTCCACTTTGACCCAGTCCAGATACGCGCATACATGCCATGAACTGTGCCACTCTTCCCATTGTGCACCGCCTTGATGTAGAGTACGTGTGGTTCTATGTGCAACCAACTTTCCGAGTCATCTTGACTCTTGCGCGAACAGGGCTAACGCTCTGGAGCTTTATTGAAGACTTGTGGAAATGCAGCCGTACATTCATTGACTTTGTATCCTGCCATCGGATCGGATTCGAATACGTAGGTAGAGGTCATTAAACAGATATCTCGGCACGTGGCCTAGAATTGCGTGCTGCCGCGGCGAAAAGTCTGAACGCGATTTCTGGGAGGACTTCGAAGAGAACAAGAGGTACGTACAGTACCCACGTTTCCCGCACATAATGGCATGTTGGCAGCGGGTATCATAATCACTTCTGACTTCCCGCCCCGCCCAAGCGGGAATTCCGTAGCCCCTATTCCGAAGCGAATGTGGGGCCAAAGCTGGAGCCAATCGGGTTGAATTCCGCCTAGTGGCGGTCTATTCCTTGACCGTACCTAATTACTGACATCTACGCTTTCACGAATGTCTGTCCGCAGATCTCATGAGAAACATGCTCACTCTTCGATAAAACCAACAACCTCCAATCCCGACTCCAAAGCTTGGAACGAGTGCTGTGTAACCGGACACCTGTTGGAATCTAGGAAATCGACCACGAGATGATGACAATGAGCGATCAATATTTGCACTGGCAAAAGGCCAATGACAATGCACGTCGATCTTCTTGTGTATGATCTTTTCCCATTGGACTTATAACTCAAAGAGACCAAGTCCAAGATATTCTCAAAAGACTCGGCCGACATCTATGCTTTCCAAGTCGCTTGTCATCCAAGAGATTGATCTCCCCAACAGTGATGAGTATTTCATCAATTGTGATGCCCAGATCCCATAAGCTGCGCTTTGATTTGTTCGAAGCTGTTTCGACCCACAGATCATTATATTCAACCGCTCTTCGACCCTTTAACTTTGAGCTGCTTCCTTTTTCGACATGTCCAAAGACACGTTGTGGAAAATGGGACCTGAGACGGCTTTCTTGTACGACAGCAGGCGACCTGACCTCCAGAGACTCGCGTAGCCTCTCGATATTCTGCAGCCCGAGACGAAGTGCATCATCATTGGCCTCCTGTTGGACCTTGTCTCCGGGCGTTCTATTGTCCTGAGGCATCACACTCTCTAACCAAGATTGTTCACTCTCGGTCCTATATTTATTATCAGCTATAGACTGCTCTAGACGCCGGTGAACTTACTCTTTCAACCCATTTTCAAGCTCTGAATCATATTCCGGACGTCCAACCTGTTCAAAGCCTCCTCGCGAAGTCCAACGTGAGCCCAACTTGGGATCAATAGTGACCTGTTTCTGCAAAATGGTGTTCAGTTGGCATCTTCGGGTAGCCTTCTTGATTGGTTCCTGACAATTATAATATTAGCGCTTGGTTTCGACAATTTTCGTTTCTTGGGAAGATGTAAAACTCACCCTCTCTACAATATTCGTTGTTTTGATGTCAAGAAGCTCTCCTGATGCAACGGCTTCAATGACATCATCGGCCCAATCGAGCTTCAATTGTTTTGTTTGCATTGTTTGTTCTGTTCGAAGGTGTGTGAATTTGACGAGATCTTTAGCGTAGCTGTGCTAATTGTACCTAACGTTCAAGAGGCGGCCTCCATAAGCGGGAGTCTTTATGAACAAGTGCGGTCAGGTGTTATTCAGAAGTCTCTGTACGCTGAATGGATCCAGTGACTCTTGGAGGCAGAAGCAAGGAATAATCTTCACTTCTAGGGACAGACTTGGAGTTATTCACAGGTGTGGAGACAGGACTAGTCCGGATGATAACAGTCTAGTCACAGTCTGGTTCACAGTCTAATTCACAGTGGCGCGATCGGTACCGAACAAAGACTCACGAAAGGCACAGCTCACCAAAATGGTGAGTGAAAGATGTTTCAGAAATCATCGCATTTTTTCAGGTAAAGTTACGACGATTTGCTGGCAAAAATGAAGAGATGGCGCTCAAAGCCTGTCAGACCCCATCGGCCAGCCCATTTTCGTCCAGATCCACCACGCAAACGTCCGCTCTGAAATATTCTTTCTGGCAAACATCGTCAGGATGGCAATCCCTATCAGCGTATCCGTCTTTGTTGGCATCCAATGCACCCATCGTGGTGCTCAGGCCAGCCTATAGAATGATACGTCCTTCCTCGTCGCGCGCATCCATTTCTCCTTCACTGCCATCGTTTTCCCTTGGTATCCAGCAAGTTCTGAGCCTCGATAGATTCTTCACCCTGTACTTGTGTAGCAGAGGATGTTGGTACAGAGCACATTCTCCGGCAGTGATCCACGTATCGACGCGCTTAACGTAAGGATCTGACAATGGGAGCCCTGGTGGGAAAGCGGGGACAGGGTATGCCGTCGAATTAAGGTGGAACGCACGATTCAAGGACGGACGCTTGGGTGGTGGCTCAGCAGTTTCGTTCGAGGAAGAAGAAGCAAAGCTTTCTGGGATGGCTTGATCGAGTCCCTCGTAAAGGTCTTCAACGTCGGCGCCGTCCTCTTCCAACTCCAACAGGTCTTCCAACTCAACGTCCCCAAGGTCCGTTCCGTCTAATTGAGCAGCATCATCGATCTCGCCGTCCTCTAGGCCTCCTTCTCCTCGTCCTTCGATGGTTGTAACATCGATAGACTCCCAATATCCCGGTAGCTTGACTTGAGGTCGGGTTGGGGTCGGGTGTTCGATCTCTTCGGGAAAGTCTTCACGATTGCGAACTTCTTCAGCCGGGTCGTTGGTAGTGGTGGTCTTCTCCGCATCCGCATCGATTGTTTGACTTGTAGACGGACCGTCATAGTGATTGAGCTCTTGTGAATTGACTTGGCGGGCCGTAAACATTGTGAATTGGTCGCAGCTTTTTTGTTGTTGAGGTTGAGAAAAACATTTTGACGCGAAGCGGACGTCACCATTTATCGCCCTCAAGGAATGGCGCCTTAGCGATTATCACTTTTGAAATGCAGACGCGGCTGAACATAAGTGAATATGAAGCCTTGTGATGTTCGGTCCAGTTCGGGAATGTTCGGGTCCGTCGTCGCTTCCTCTTCTAGTGAACAGCAGCAGCAAGAATTACGTGGTGACAGATTCGGCGCCGACGTACAAGAACAACAATGTACCCTCATATGCTGTGCCTTTCAGGCTTTTTCTAATTTTCAATTACATGGATGTACGGCTGACCCTTACTTAGAAAGGGAAAAATCGATGATTTGTCTGTCAACTCCAGAAAAGTGTTGTTTGTCTGGCAACTCAAATAAATTATCTTGCTTATAGTTCATGTTATTTCTGTCTACTTTTTATTCTTGCCCATCTTTTACTACTACCCATCTTCTACTGTTATTTACTGCTGCTCGCTCTTGATTGCTGCTTTATATTAGTCATTCTATTGGAAGGAATGGGCGAATAGGGGTGAGGACAAGGGACAGTGAGGAGTGAGAAGGAAGAGTGAAAAGCAGGGAAGAGGGGTGAGGAGGAGGAGGCTGGGGGTGATTAAAGGAGAAGTTTCAGCCTTATTTGAGTTTTCCGCGCTAGTGAAATGTTTGTTTGCTTGCTTAGTCCCACTCTTTCACTCACTCACTTTGCCTTCTCTCTTACTCGCCCACCTACTCACTTATTTACTTCCTCAATTACTACTATGGCATTGCATTGAGTAGTAGCGTTGAGTAGTGCTGTGGTAAGCAGTGAACTAGAGTTTCTATGGGTAAAGTGAGTTAAATTAGTTGCCAAACAAATAACTCTTTTTCTTCTAGCAAATCACTCTTTTTTGTTTTCCTTTTTTTTTTGGTCTAACAACAAGTAAAATCTTATGACTTTCTTTTCTAACAATTTATTAAAAGAAGAATTTTTCTAGCACCAATTAAAAAGAAAACTATGTTTACATAGCCCATGTATTGTGGACCACCTCACTACTACACACTTCAATCACTACTATTCACCTCACCGCTGCCTACCTCACTTGTGGAATGGAGTGAGAGAAGGAAGAGAGTGAGGGGGAGAGGGCAAGAGAAAGGGGGGAAAGGAAGAGGGAGAAATATTTCGGTCATATTTGAGTTTCACACAAGTGTATTATTTGTTTGCTTCCTTGCTGCTGCTATCCCCTCATCTCACTTACTCGCTGTAGCACTTGGGTGAGCTTTAGTGGCGAGGAGTCTGAGGTGGGGGAAAACTAAAGTGGAGAGTGCTGGGGTAGAGAGTGCTGAGGTAGGAGTACTGAGGCTGAGACAGGTCAAGAGTATTGAGGCAAACAAGCATTGAAGTGGCTAACAGGATGTTCTGAGTCAAGTGAGTTGGTTATAATTGCTAGAGCTAGACAAATCACAGTTTCGTTTAGCTTACTATCAAACAAACACAAAAAATGAACATTTTAACTGAGGTTCAGCCATATGTATCTGTGCTCTTCTTATCATGCAGAACAAGGGACGACAAGTGTTTACGGTATTTGTGATTCTATCACTTTGTTTTTGATAGTAGTATAACACAATCAGGATCTCAACTTATCCGAGAGCTACAAAGAAGATATTAGTCTTTCGGTATGACTTTAATACACGCACATGGTTCCCGTCTTAAGTGTCCTATCAAGATCCAAAAAATTTTGGTCACATTCGATGAGATCACGTGAGATCTTACCCATCTAGGGGACATCTTTCAGCATCTGTCTCTCGAGTTCGAAGCGAGTCTCAAGTTAGTAGTGCTTCGAAGAACGTCAGATGATAGCCCATTAGTGATTGTTCATCGCTAAGTCAAGCTTTGAAATAGCATTCAGCTGTAGTGGAGATTCGCTCCGGTTAGTTAAGCCTTCTTCCACTCTTTTTCCATCTTAGTTGTATACATGAGAAAAGGACAGTTTCTCTTCTCGCTGTGGGATAAGGTATATATTCTTCATGTATCTCTATGTGGGTAACAATCCAAGCATATAAAATGGCCCGTTGTGTAGTATCAAGGCTTCCCATATCATTTCCACTCACAGGGTCTGAATTTTAAATGTACACCTCAGTCTTTTATTACAACATGAAGTACAAGTCACTGAGTAATTTCGTTTCGAGCACACTATATAGCATCAGGCTCAAGAAACTGCTGAGAACGAACTCTTCGATCAAACCGACAGTTGTGCGTCCTCGATATTACTACTGTACAACAAGACACTTCATACCTTCTCAAGAGAAATCATGCCAGCAACTTTTTGGAAGGTGATATCAGAAAGTGTGGTTGAAAAGGAGCAGAAAGTCGCCGCTACAATCAGAGACTTCGAGAATGGTTTTCATTTTTCTATGGTGACAGTGTCTTTTCATCGGTGTGTTCATACCAAACAGACGAACTCAGAAGCTCGTGAGTCTCAATATCTAACAGCACCTCCCATTTCCCACGTTTTACTAGCAGTCTACTTCGAACTTTTCCCCATTTGAACTTGCCTTAGCAGACTGAGCCGTTTGGACGGAGCAAAAGCGTCTCTAAATCTTTACAAACATGGGTGGCTTAGTCTCTATATGAGGCTGATGGGGCATGCCATATCTCGGGTGCAATGTGAGCCAATAAGCGAGCTCTTCCGGACTGTTAGGCTGAAATGGTTTTTGAGGTTGAGCTCGGATTGCGGGTTGCGGATATTGGAACGCTGGAGCGGTAGGGTTCAAGCCACTCGGAGCAACAGGATCTTGGGCCGCCGGTCTGCGAATGGAGACCATGTCCGAGGAGACGACAGGCGGACTTGGAGTGATTGAGGACACCAAGCACGCAACGACTTTGGCAAATGCTTGCTTTTCCTTTTTGTTGTTAGCTTGAGCGAACTTAGGAAGGGTCCAAATAGCACTTACATCGACCTCGGCGGAGCTGGGAACACAAATATTATCAATAACCCTGACATCATATCTGGGGTCGATCTTCTTCTAGAACAAATTTAGCCAAGACCGACAGCTGGATTCGGAGATACTAACCTTCGTAGCAGGCACTTCGCCTTGCTCAGTGACAAGTGTCTCGATTTGTTGATTCTCGTTGCTGGCAGTTTCGACAGAAACCACTGTTGCTGGCGCGACGACCTTGGCTGCTGGTCTCAATGCTGGGGATGGCTCGCAGCTACTAGGTGGAGTCATAGGGCAAGATGCTCTTGCTGCAAGTTCGGCTTCCTCGATGGCATCGTCGGCCCAGTTGAACTTGGTAGAAGCAGTAGACATAGCTCCGGAGGCCATGTTGGTTTTTGGAAGAGTCCCAGGCGACTACTCCTTTTCTTTAAGTAAAGAAGTCGTTGATATCTGAGTTTGTAGGGGCTGTACTGAATTGGGTATTGTTGATCGTGTTGTTGAAGTTTTGAGATCTCAGGAGCAGGAAATTGATGGTTGAGAGAGACACTGCATCGAGCTGTTTTATAGCCAAAACCACAGTCCATTTTGAAATCGCACTGTGTCAGTCGATATCAGAATGAAAGTGTTGCTGTGTGGCCGACTTACTCTGGTGGGTTAGTTCCCGTGCCTCCCGCATCGTGGTTGAACTCAAATATCAACTCAGTCGATTTCAAAACGACCTACGTAAGTCACTTGCTTCCAGAACACGCGAAGAACGTTGATGGAGTCATGCATTTGATGGGTCCAGTATCGATGAAAGATTGTAAATCATCGCGACTCATGTGTCCTCCCCTAGATTGTATACATATACACGCCAGCTCAACACTAGTTCCCTTCCCTTACTCCGAGATTGTCCACGACCATCGGAGCATGCTTTCCCTGTAGCAATAGTTCGGAATCTTGCCTGATTCTCTCAGTAGTTGCTCATCCCACGTGATTGGTACATGCAAGACTTTGATGCCCAATCGTTCCAACTCATCTTCCTGACTCTGCTCAGTATATGCACCGAAACGATTCGTGCGAGTGCGATTCTTGAGAACCCCTTTTTTCTTCTTGACTCGGATCTCGGCCAGTGTCCTGTATGCGGCAGTCTGGTACATCGATGCTACCGAGGGGTGGCTTGTAGTTGGGACTGCATCGTTCTTGCCAGATTCGGTGAATATGGCGCTAGCGCTGAACTTCATAGAAGGTTCATTCATCTTCCAGATATTTGTTAGCTCAGATTTATCGCGACTGCCAAGAATGCATGAGGTAGGAGCCACTCTGCTCCAGGTGTTAAACGAAATAATATCTCACTTACAATGTGACCTGAGTCTTTGATGCTTCCCTCAATGTCTGCCATTTCGTGATCTGAGACTGAAATTTTTGTTTTGAGAGAATGTCGGCTCAAGTTTTCGGGATGTAAGCATTTGGATTTTCGATGCTTGATTGGGTGATCACTGGGCAACACCCGATCTTGTGGATATCATTGAAGGTAGAGTAGAGAATCTTAGTCAGCCTTCCCGAGACGTGAGGTGAGGGGATGTATAATGCTTGAAGGAGAGCTCAGGTGGATAATTATTGATAGAATTTGACGACATGGAAATAGTCGAAAGTAAAATGGAGAATGTCGGTCTAAAATCCGGGGATTTGAATGGTGGGATTTCTGGTGCTTGATTTGAAACTGAGCAGAAGGAGGGCTACTGAGCCGGGATGATGTCTTTGGAGCAGCTGAGGGGGACTTGGAATCGTTGAGGTATGAGATTGTCTGTGTTTTTGCCGAAAGCTATGTCTTATGCTTCAAAAATGATCTACAGACTAAATCAAATTTTCCTTGAAGGGAAATTGTCCAGACGGTCGCAGAACACTACACCACAATCTGAATGCTAGTTTCTTGAGCATCAAAGGTTGGACATCGTAGTCTGTTGACGGAGATTCGTTTATATACGCAATGGCAAAATATACCGTACAGTTTCTCACTAAAGATGGGTTTTAAATCGAATTTCTCAGAAAATATCACATTAAAAGCCAAGATTGAAGTTTTCAACAAATCTTGATAAGGACGGACTTTGTAAGCAAGCTATTTAATCTTGAAATCCGTCGCCTTTCCATCATGTTGCTAATAGACATCACCGTCTTCAAGTGTACTTTTGTGTAAAATGCACAAAGATTTCAAATTACGGACTGTCCATTGACTTTTGTTCTGAAGGCAGGTGCAGCAGGGGAGAATCAAAATTGGACTTCCATCTCTCACGTCTCCCTCTCAAGACTGGTAAATACAGCATCGCCAGTGAATGTGAATTCCATGACCAACACTCTTACATTTATCGGCATTTTGTTATATCCAGAGATTGCAGAGTTCCACAACCAAATTGAGGGTGCTTTTGGCACTAGAGCGTTATTGAGCCAGGTTCGTAGGGTTAGCTCAAGAGCGGGCGGATTGTACGAGCCCTGGAGAATGTCAGTTTTACAAGGAACAATGACTTCGCCTTCATTTTACACTGTCCAAGATCATCTCCCACGTTATGCCAACACTACCTGGATGTAGTTTTGAAACACTCTTAAACTTGCAGTCTTTTGCATCTTGCACGTCCTGAAGGGCTGAAGTCTTTGTTAATTTTTGCGACACATTGGCTATTTATGTATTGGGAAACGATGTTGAAAGTGAAGTGGAAAGGTTGAGAATGAGCAGCAATGTTGAATCCAATTGGCTCATAGAATTTGATATCCCAGAACTTTGAATACCTAGGATTTTGACTGCAAAACTTGCTTCATCTTGGCCTTCGAACTCGACCGCAACTCGCATTTCAAATACAAGCAGTGAATACCGAGGTAAATACCCAAATTATTTGATATTGATCAACATATCTGAAGGTGCACTAGTGTAAACTAAGCTGATAACAATTTCCATACTGGCTCAGGCAGCCTAATACGCATCTTCCAAGCAGGATCCATGAGACAGTGGTAGCAATTCACGTGACTATCACTCGCTTACAGAAAGGGGTGAAAAGTGGAGCAGGGTTGAATTTCTGGTTAGCTTGCGGCACATAACATCACAAGTCACAGAGCAGTGGAACGATGAGTTTTATGTTCACTGTCAATAGACAGTACGTATAGAAGTGGCATTGATTTGTATACCCCAAACGCCAAAATTATTTCATGATAAAATCCCAATCCAAAGAGATATGCCATTTTGCGAAAGCCATCCCACCAGATCAACAGCTCCTCTTCGTATCCAGAATTCTATTCCCCTTCCATTTTCAAGAGTGCATCCCCCTTCCCCCAAAACGATTCTATGTCTTCAGAATCTGGTCGGCTTTCCAAGGCTCCCGCCGCCGAGCGACTCGCAGAATTCGCAGCCACACCCATCCCCGTGGTCACGCTCTGGTTCATCAGACATTGCTCTGATCTTCGCAATAATTTGCTCGTCTGACTCAACAAAGATAAGCAAGTCACAGCAATTCTCCTCTTGAAGACGGTAGTCATCGAGACCTTGGGCAAGGCCGTGCAACATGGCAGCCCTATCCGTCTCGGAGAACATGCTTGGGCCCTAGGTGAGAGCCCACATGTCCTTATTCTTCAAGATCTCATCGGCGAGAGAGAACAGTGAGAATGCGACCTTCGAAGCGTGGTGGGGAGCATTGATAGAACCACTGTGAGATGGCGTGGCGGAAGTCGAATGGCTCATCGGGCCAACATCTCGGAGAAGCGTAGCCTGCATAGTGTCAATTATTTAGTTCGTCATTGATGCAGGGATAGTCATTACACTTGCGCCTTTGACGTTCCCATTTTGCGCAACAGGTGATGCTCTCTTCCTAATAGGAGCTGCGAGGTAACCAAAGGGTGTCACTCGGGACAATGGCTTGCTACAAGACATTACAATAGCCTTGAAGATAGACATCGTAAGTCTTTAGAGGCTCGAAGTGGAAGTTGTAAAGAATTATTGGATTGGAAATCGGAGGCTTCTGGTTGGCCGAGAGGAGGCGAGACGAAGTGGGATTGACTTGTTCGCTGTTGCACATATATTAGAATATCATGTTGATACCAAAGCTCAAGTACTTACAATTGAAAGATCCTTGAGTTCAGGAATGGTTTGAGGTGGCAGAAATATTCTTAATTGTTGTTGTTCTATGAAGGAGTTGAGGAATATTTCTGAAAAGTTAGGGTTTATATAGCTAGCTCCGAATCATCTAGCGTCTTCTGCCGACTCTTCAGCCTATTTTGACAATTAGTGGACAATTTTGAAGGTTTAAATTAGTATTAGCGGTCTATTGTACTAGGTGAACGCGTTTTGCTGCTCCAAATAAAAAAAGTCTATAAAAAGATCAAGGATTATTATTGAAATGGGAAGATTTGAACCTATGCAAGGAATCGGGAAATGTATATGAATCATCTTGTTAGCTTATATGGAGTGATGCAATAGTTATAGGAACGAAATCAAGACTTTCACTAATCATGAGGCAGTATCACATAAAGGTACTATAGAGTTGGAAGGGCATGTAATTAAGATCGATGAAGTTATTATGTTATCCTCATCTGCCTTCAATTTCTGCGCCACTGTTCTTCTCTCTCAAGAATATCCATGCTCCGATCTGTAAGTGTCATTCTCTGCCTTCTCTTCACTCAAGTCCTCCTCGTGCTCATCCTCCTCGACCTTCTCTGAGAGATTCTAATCCTCGTCAGAGCTCGAACCACTCTCCTCGGCAGTTGTATCGTGGCCAGTGATCAGCTCCTCTGCTGCTGTGCGGATCTTGAAGGCGGTTTCCAAGACTGCCTCGCAGCACTTTCCATCTGTTCTGTGAGGGCAGAGAGCGTGCTTCTTGACGAGAGTGTCCCCAAGTTCGTGAAGAAGGATTGCGATCTTCAGGGTGACCAGGCTGGCCAACCAGTCAGTCGACTGGTCAACTGACTGACAAGTGAGCAGTTAAAGTGAATCAGTTTAGACATTTTGAATCGTCTCAGTCTATCAGTGATCCAATAGTCCAACTGGCAGTAACTGATCAGTTCAGAGATTCGATTTTTTCGATTTTGGAGTCATTTTTGAAGCCTTTTAGGGAGGATTCAGGGGCAGATAGGCAAAAAAAAAGCTTTCTGATTGGCCAAAAAAGGCGGTGAAACGAACATTTAACACTTAGGATTTCTATTATGATGATTTTGATCTTTAATCCATCACTCCATCTATCTAAAACTCTACCAAAACACTAAGAATCATGCCTTTTATTGAGCTAGAGCTTAGTCAAGTCCTTGGTATTGATCTTATGGTTTCTTAGCCCTCTTCTAGGACTTATGAGCCGTCTTAAAGCATGCAAGTGCACCCGCATCCTCTCAATATGCATTCTTTCAGCATGTACTCTCTTGGTGTGTACTCTTTTATTGTGCTGTGCAATCTATACGTTTACATCTTTTAATAATATATACTCTAATAATAACCTGGTGAAGCCACTTTTTGGTAGGGGAACGTGATCAAAAGTCACGTTTTCTTAAGTGACTGACAGTCGATCAGTTGGATGCCCTCATTTTGATCAGTCTATCAGTTGGAGAATTAGCTCGACTGATAACTGACTGACTGACTGGTTGGCCAGCCTGAGGGTGACTTCGTCTGGTTTTCCCTCTCTGTTGGGTTGGTGGATTAAAGTTGCGGTCTTGTCATCGATTAGTTCGATTCGATGAATCGCAACAGTCTCCTCTGTAAAACGTGCATTGTAGGGGGCCTTGTGGTGATAATGGTCAGAATGAAAATGATCTGAGGGATTAGAGAGCTGTCCTACCTTTCTGTGGAAGAAAGCAGCCTTAGTAAGGAGATGTAGAGAGGTCGAAGGTACTTGCGCCTTTCGAAGCGCAAAGCGCGAGATGGTCTTGAGAGCGTTTACAGTAGACATTCTGACGAAGTAGGCAAGAGTTGCAAAGATTTTGTTGATAGTTAGAAGATCTGAAATGATCGAAGTGTAGAGTACTGGTCAAGGTGGAAGTTGAAACATTGAAGTTGTTGAAGTTCTGTGGTTGAGAAGAGCAAAGTTTATGAAAAACTAGTGGGATATATAGACTCGACAACAATAGCAAATAGCACACTAGCAGGAGCGTAACATCGCTTGGTGAATAGGTTCTGCTCGAGTTGAACGCCAACGTCTATTCTGTTTAGCTTGAAAACGCTGAAATTATGTGAACATGTACCAGACTTCAAGAAGCTACTACCATGTTCTTTCCTTGCCCGCTCATGGATCAGAGGCATCTTGAGTCGGACAATATCCTATATCATACAGAATTTCTTTTCAAGCTTCAGACACCTGTGTCGACTTGAGTTAGTCCAGTACTGTCTGAAGTATTGGACAGGAAAAACGCTACTTTGCGCAACAGCTCTTATATATGGTGAGACCGTGTGTTTCGGCAAGGTTTGACTTATGACAGGTGCAACTGATATCAAACAGGAATAAATCGCACAAAGTCCACATCTCTCAAGTCTACATTTACTAGAAAATTACCTGCAGTCGAGTGATGATGCACGTGACTTCTACTCTCAAGTCTCCGGATCTTGAAGAAGCTTGCTTACAATACAACAGGTAGTCTCATTCCGAAGTACTAATCTCTTAATTAAAGATAATGCCACCATCGATGATCAATGTCTGACCTGTCATATAATCGCTGTCCGGGCTGGCCAAGAAAGAAACCGTCTTGCCCACATCCTCCGGAACACTCGTTCGTCCTAATGCAATTAAATCATCCGTATACTTCTTGATAGTATCACCCTTCTTCACACTAGTCTTCTTGCCCAACTCCTCATCAATCAGATCCCACATCGCTGTACCGACGATTCCAGGTGCGTAGCCATTAACTGTGATCTTGTGCTCAGCCATCTCCATAGCAAATGCCTGAGTGAAACCACGAACAGCCCACTTCGAAGCACTGTAATGAGATAGCATAACAAAAGGTTTGTACGCCACGATGCTATTCCGGGATCAGTGACAGTATTACAGGATGAGGAGGAAACACAAACCTAGCGGCACCGATGATCTTCCCTCCACTACCTTGCTTGATCATCTGCTTGGCTGCAGCACTGTAGCAATTGAAGACCCCAAAGACATTGACCTCAAACATTCTCCTCACGTCATCCTCGGTAAGATCCAACAAAGCCTTGACTTGTGCAATCCCAGCATTTGCAATCATGACATTGAGAGGTCCCAGATTCTTGACAGAGGCTTCGATCAAAGCTTCGACTTCGGAAAGCTTGGACACATCGGCTACATGTCCATAGGATTGACGGCCGAGAGCTTGGATCTCTTTGACAGTCTGGGATGAAAACAATTAGACATTGATCATGTGAGGAAAGGCACACATACGGATTCAATGCCAGATTTGTTTGCCGATATATCGTTTATGCAGACGTCGAAACCATCTTCTGCGAGGCGGAGAGCGATTGCTTTTCCTCTTTTCTCTTGTCAGCTATCTCTTATAATTGGGATTTTGTCAAACATGCATTCCTCGTGCAGAGCCTGTGACGATCACGGTTCTTTTGCCTTGATGCTTGGCCACAGTGGTTCCATTTCCGTTACTCGCCATTATGGTCTGATGGTCTGATGCTTGTTTGAATTTCCAATTGTGTATAATTGATAGACTTTATAATTCAGCAAATCTCAAGAGGAAGAGCAGGTTGGTTGACTGTCCAAGAAAGGAAGCAGCGCCCTCACGGGTGCTCCGGCCATTTGTATAGCTCTTGACTCGGGCCAAGAGCGTCATGAGGGGCTCGTTCATGAAGTGCTCAGGAGGAACGGAAGTTGGGCTAGCTGTGTGCTACTTGAAATAGTGCGGGGATACGCGGTAGCCTTCCGCCCTAAAGCCTGCCGAACTCTACCCCACATTCGCCAGGAAATATGATTTGACGGAACAACTTAGTTACACTCTAGGACCTGATAGATTCTCGGGTGACTTTCCCTCCCTCGACCGAGACTGAAAAGCCTGCGCCACGCAACTTAGACGCGAAGCATGCGTGGAATCTTCCGAGGTTATTGAGCGAGGAGTGCATCACGTGACTGTAAATTAACTTACTTGTTACCTAGGTAGTATAACAGGTCATTATTCCGCTCCACTACAAATTAAAATCTCGAATAACAACCAAATAATGGGCATTACTTAGGGACCATTATATGGATGAGCACCTACCCGGCAGTGGTCAAATGTGCACGCGATGCGAGTCATGTGCTCTGATGACATTTCATTCAACCTTCCATTGGAAACCGAGATGGAGAAGATTAAATAATTAGAAGGGGCGTAGCAGACCACTGTTATTCAAGAACCCTTTTCATAAGACTTGAAAGCCCGAAAACTTGAGGTAAATTACCACTACTATTCGCTTGAGGTGCAGTGAAAACGAGCGTGGCCGCCTCCTTATCTCGAAACCATTAAACACCATGCTTGAGCTTTATATGCTCAAGTAGGCGGCAAGATCAGGGCGCCTTTATCTCCTCGTTCTCAACAGCCCCCGCCGACTGTGCTGGCTCACGCTGTCTCCACCTTGCGCAGGAAGAAAATATAATCAACTTCTAGCGAGTTGCAATTGTTTTACAGTAAGGAAAAGCTATTCATAATAAGAGGCAGAGTTTGGGCTGAGAATTTTTCATGAGGAGTACAGCAACGAATGTCCGATATTCATATGTCTTTTTTCACACGTTGATTGACATGACCCCTGCCCACATCAACAGGAAAGCAAACAAGCATCTAAACTTGCAAACAGCCAGTCCCACATCAAAATCCAACTATATAAACTTGTTGAAGCTGCTCCACAGCCTCGAGCTGAAGTGAAGTAGTCAGGAGACAAAGGTGATGACTGTGTTTGCGACCAAATAATTCCAACTCATCCATCTGGTGAGCATCAAAAAGTCCGAACATGGTCCTTGATCCAATGCCAATGCCTAAACTCTGATGAGATCTTCACTTGGGAGATTGTTCTCAGCAATCGCGCTCTCGAGACGTGCTGTGCTAAGGACGCTCCAGGCATTGTCGACGAGGTCATCGGTATCTAGGCTTAGCATTAATACCTAGGTACCATAATAGACAAATACAAGTAGTGTCCGACATTGAGCTCAAACCTACCTATTGAAGCCATTGGAAGTGCCACGCTTATGCTCAGGAGTGAAATGAAAGCCAAGAGGGTTCGGTAGAGCTGCATCGTGACTGATTTATTCGCCTGAGTACAGAATATAAAGGACCAAGATGTTCTGCAAACTTATAATCCACGGGAAACTAGTAAAGCTGGAGCTGGGGATACGTGGCTTAAGTAGTGCATTTCCAAGACACCGATCGGATATGCCTTCTTGCGCAAAGTCGACACAGGCAGATGATCAGTACGTTTCGGGTATGTTATAATGTGGAGGTAAGTTTCCGAAAGCGAGGACTCAAGTCCATGGCTGACTATGCGTTGTGAATGCCACCTGCATTGAAAATCTTTATGTCGGTACACGGGACGTCAAGCTCATCTTGTAAATAGGCTAACAGCGGATGCACTTGGTTATGGAAAAGCGTCAGACAGATGCGGCATTCACCTGCCTGCATGTATTGAAGATATACCCAACAAGCCTTGTTCAGGCTTTCGTCGGTTTGGGTAGCATCGGTTCCTGGTGAGTTAAAAATCAGATTTAGCCTCAAACAGTGCCTGCAAATGTATTTCCTGGTTGAGTCCGTCCTCATGGGGGTGGGGGGAACAGTACAGGTACCTACTCTTGCTACAACCACTCGAGATTCTTTCCGTTCACCCCAGTAGGGTTCGTCTGTCAGTGTGTTTCTTCGCAGTTGTTTTTTAAGAAGTTCCGCTTCTGAGTAAATGCTCTTGGTCTTGTTCACATTCACGGTCAAAAATCTCACAACATGACCTTCGAGGAGTATTCCAAGCTCGCTACAAGAGATTTCGAGGTTTTGGTTGCAGATTCAGATTGCAGGCATGAGATACTGTGTCCACGATGCTACACAGGTAGAGCCGAAGATCGCGAAGCTTTACCTCGAAGGTTTAGCGGAACTTCGTCATTTCAGATATGTGTTTACATACTTTTGATAAGCGCTAATTTGGGAGCGCTTGCCTTGTGGTTCAAGACAACTCCACAGATGGGTGACTGTGTCCGACCAGTTCTCGCTTACTGTAGGGTCATCGCGTCTTTACTCCTCGGAATCTGAGACTGACTTGTTCGATAGCTCCAGCGAAGGCGGATGATGCTATCCATTACGAGAAGAGAAGACTTGTTACCGAAATTGATGCAAACGTGTTTTCTGGGCCCCCTAGACCAGCACACGATGAAGCTTGGGCTCATTTGATAGAGCGTATGTTCCTGATAACTCCCTAAGTTCCGATGACCGTTCCCTAAGGCTATATTTACTAGCCATCGCAATCAAGATTTCGAAACAGCAGTTGGATTTGATTGGCGAGGATTCTATCGAATTCGCAGATAAATCCGGCTATCTCGCAGAGACTTCACTCTACCACGAACTTCACTGTATTGTAGGCCCATACATTTTCATGAAAGGTGTTTAACCTAACGTCTACGAGATATCTGCTGATCATTCCTAACTTCAGAAACGACTACGACGGCATAGGTATCTTAGCCATTATTATCCAAATATGACCTCGCTCGAACGTTATAGGGAAGGTCTGCATTATGGTTAGTCGATTCCATCGACCATAGCGAACCTTTACAGCACATTGTCTGACCAAGAATATTCAGACCACTGCCTTGAGTACTGGCGAGAAGCAGCCATGTGCCGAGGGGATACATACTTAACTCCATTCTTCTGGCGCGATGGTCAACCAGTCTCTCGTGTATGGAGTGATCGAGAGTGTGTGGACTGGCAGAAAGTGGATATGTGGGCAAGAACGAGGATGGTTGATATGTCCAATATATCTATCTTCCGACAGCCGTGAAACATATGAGAGGCATGAATTGATGGCAATGTTCTTCAGAGAAAAGTCTAGCCATCTTTGGTAGTATATGGTATACGAATTGTAAACTTGTCTCGATTTATGCCAGCATGTCAACCTTTTAGAAAGCGTTCAAGCAATTCCCGTGTCAGTGCTATTCTTCCATGTCTCAGCTAAAGCTTTGACGTTGTCAAAGTCACGACAAAGAGTTAAGCTTTCCTCAAATTGAAGCTTTCTTCAAGGTATTCTGATCTAATCTTCTCTTCATCCACCAGGCTAAGAAGAACAAGATATTCTTAGCTAACGAGTTCACCTACGCGATCACAAGTCCTGTCGTTAAGATATCCTTGATCGTCTTCTACCGTCGAATATTCATTTTCAACCCATTTCGCAGAGCATCCGACATACTCATCACGATGTGTGTGCTGTGGGGTCTTGCTACGATCCTTGGCTCTGCTACTCAATGTCGACCATTATCCAAGTCTTGGAACCCAACGATCGAGGGAAAATGCTTCAACGTGCGACAAATTCGTCTTAGGCATACAAGGAGTAAATATCTTCCTTGCTACTTGTATTCTTTGTCTACCGATGAAAATGGTATGGAATCTCAAACGACCCTTGCTAGAGCGGCTGGCAGTGATGGGTATATTCTTGCTGGGAGGTTTGTAAGGACCCCGACTTCCTGCTTTCACTGAATCTTAGCGGGTCTGGCTAGCTAATCAATTTTTTTGGCCTTAGCGTTATCATCACCAGCATCTACCGCATCTATACCATCACTCTTATGGACGATAACGATATTCCATGTGCGTACCCGTATCACTCACTCCACCATTTCTTTTCGCAATTTCAAGAAGTACAAGCTAATCAGAAAGTTCTGCAGACACTATCTACCGGAGCACAGTTTGGACTTTGGTGGAACCCAGTATTGGCTTAGTCTGTGGCTGCCTTCCAACGATTCGTGGTCTCTTTCCAGCTTACCGAGTAAGCAGGTCCACCAAAGGGACCGCAGCTAGCAACAATTTGCCAGAACCTCATCGTGCGACGAACTCGTATAATGACCAGTTACAGTATATCAAAATGGTTAGCATTACGGAGATCTTGGGAAATCCTTCAAACGATGATGATAAGGCTCACGGTGGGGAGATCAGAGTTAACACGGTTGTTTCGATTGTGTAGATGTTTCAAATCTCTAAGCTCAATAGGACTTCATCTATCTCGCTATAATTTATCAACTTGTCAGATACGATATCTCAGCGTGCCGTCTGTCTCATGTCCACTGCCCTGTATATAGCACGCTGTGGTTATCATTACAATATATAGCAGAACCAAACACGGATCACATATCAGGAATTGAGGAGGAAGATCATAATTTCGTACAATTGCAAACAAGAAAACATGTTGTATTCATCAGCTATCGGAGAAGTAAGCCAGCGAGTGAGAATCGGATGGCATAGTTCACGAGAGTGGTGAACTGCCATTTTTCGTTCCTGCGGTCAACCAGAAAAGTCGCATTTTGAGATCCAATTTCCCTGATATCAAAAATTTGAGAACTGCAGCCTTAACCACTCAATAGTTCCTTCAAACCTACTACAAAGACATCCTTTTGACAACATCAAGCACCGTCTGTGGCATACTAAGGAAAGGAGAATGGGAAGCCTCGCATTCCTCTTCCTTGAAAGTAACACCAGAATTCTGCACCATCATTTTCTGAAGTGCCAAGGGCATACCTTGGTCTTTCGCACAATACAGATAGGTGACGGGAAAGTGCTTATAAGCAGCGTAGGTTATAGGTGTGGTCTGGGTAATCAATGGAACGGGTGCCATTTCGGATTTCCAGTGAAGTATATCTTTTTCAGAGAGATCATTGTAGAAGATTTCTCCCTCCTCTACCATACATAATCCGTCGTCCTAAATGGTGAAAACAAATTCGGATCAGCTTGTAACTCCAATAAAGATGAAGGAAGAGACTGTGAAGGGTATGTCTTACTCTGATTTTGATAAATGGAGGTAGGTTGCCTCCGAAAGCTGATGCGAGCGAACTGCCCACCGGAATTACAAACGCGCACATGTACAGAAGTCCAAGTACTCCACCAGCAAGTCCTTTCTCTTGTCGTGACTTTCTTCCAAAGGACTCTCTGATGGCCTCGGTGCCTAGGACGCCGCCGAAAGAATGCAAAACAGCAATTACTTCCTTGCCATCGTTCAATAAGTGCGTGAGAAGAGCTTGAACGACCTTCACATCATCTTCGATGGCGACAACGGGAGGTGCCGCTTTGGCATTATAGGTCGGCTGAAGCGGACATTCAGTTGGATAGCCGTCCCTCTCAAAAACATCTCTAACAGGCCTGAAGTGATTCGGATTATGCCAGCTTCCGTGCAGGAAAACGATGGTAGGCTTGCTTGATGCCATATTGAATGTACTATCTGGCATATGTTGAAGAAAGTAAAGGACTCGTGTGCATCCAAGTCGGCTTTCTAAAGGTAGAGACCAGAGAAGATTCACTGTGCAATTGATGGATGCGCACGTGAAGTGGATCGTTGAGGTAACGATATAAACTTTTTGAAATCCGGATTTCAGACAACAGTTGAACAGGCGAAAGGCTTATACAAAGGTTCAACAGCTGATACAAATCAGCATGATTATTTCAAGTACGTTAAAGCCCCAATGTAAGGCTTGAGTCCACCGTTGATTAATCGCAAAGGACAGACACCGGAGTGAACATACTAACCTGCAGTAAGCTAACCCTCGACTTACACTATCCTGTGATTAGTCATATTCAAACATCCTAGCAAGCCCTTGCATTATGCATTCGTCGTAGCTGGGTTATTGTTTACACAACAGCAAGCCTCACTCAAGGGTATCTATAACAACATACGTGCCTCACGGATAACCCACATAATCCTCTGATTACTCCGTCGTGCCCGTCTGCAGGACGCTGTGCATGAGACATATATCACGAACACCAACATACATTGCAGCCAACATCATAAGTAATGTGGCAGCAGCTTTCCTAAATAAGTCAGACGACGGGCAGGAGTGCATGAAACAACCAACATCGATATTTCGCAGACATCGTTTTGATGAAAGGGTGATCCATCGTGCATAAGCATCCATCAATATCTCAAAGCCAACATCGAAAGGAAATTGTAGGGTCACATTTTCACAAAGTCAGAATTGCATGCAGCTGATATCAAAAAAAAAATATTCAAACACTCGCAGAACATTGGTGTGCTCGTATGCACATTGCGCTTCGAAATGGAATGGTGGGGTCGCATTTTGACAAGGTCAGCATTACATGCAGCGGATATCAAAAGGGATCATATGCTCGCAGAACATTGATGTTGTGCCTCACTCGTATGCACGTTACGTTTCAATTGGATCCATTCCAAGCTTTGGATGTTCCTGGCCCAGACTGAATTGAATCTCACCCGACATTTGCATGCTAATAGCTCTGCTTATAGGCTGAATCCAGAGAGATGGATACAAGCAGAATCTACTTACCACCCGTGAATTATCAGACGAATTGATTCATACCTACGGTGTGACAAGATGTCTGAGCCTGTGAATGCTTACATCGTTATCTCTGTCAAATCACAGTTCAACTGAAACACGTCTTGTAGGAAGTCCGTGGGAAGAAAAAGTTGCTGTCTTGAATAGTGCCCATGTCTTCAGATGTTGGGGTCCAGGAAAGACGTCAAAGCTTGTGTCGATGGTCAGTGAAAGCGATCGGCAAGAAATGAACGTGAGAGTGAGAAAGTCGGTCATGGGGTAGTTTGAGATGAAATTCAGAAAATGAAAAGAATGCAATATACAGGAATAAACAAATGTTGGGCGATGGAAATCATACCAAAACAGGAAGTACTGAATATCTATTATTATACAGAAAAACCATGATCTGAATCTTGAACCATATCTGCTCCTCTTCCTCTCCATTTGGACTCCATCTTAAGTCGCTGAAACATCACTAGCTTCTCCTTCAACATGAGAATGTACACTCTTCCACTCCATACCAGCCAGTCCCACTGCAGCCAGAGTTGCGAGAATCAAAGAAATCCGAAAGGTATCGGCCAAAGCATGATTATATGCCTCCACCACTTGTTCAACGTACTGTGCTGGGACATAGCTTCTCAGCTCAATTGCACCCAGCTTGACTATCACGCTAGGATCCACTGTCGGCATGTGGATCATCCTAATATACTGAACCAATTTGTTGTCCAAAACGGTATTGCCAATACTGACGAAAAGAGCTCCACCTAGAGTCTGCGCAAAGAATATGATAGAAACTCCTTGTGCAGCGTCTTTGAGTGGGAGGACTGCTTGGGCTGCGATCTGCGGTAATTGGAAAGCAAGGCCGCAGCCGAAACCAAGTAGGACTTGGTATCCAATCCACTCTGCGGAGCTGCTGCTTGGTGTAAGTGTTGTAAGGAGTCCTGTTGCAATGGAAGTGACCACAAAACTAGCGCAAACATAAGGCATGTAAAAGCCAAACTTTGAGACAAGCCCACCAGAGACCATGATTCCAAAGGACATTGATAGAACTAACGGAATGCTGTCGATGCCGGAATGCAGAGCGTCTACACCTTTTATCGCCTGAAACCAGACTGGGAGGAAGTACAGGAGGAGGAAGAAGGAACCTCCTAAAAGAAAACCAAAAACAGAACCAAATCCAATCGTGCGCTGAAAGAGAATTCGAGAGGGGACGGTGGCATTTTCACCCAGCCACAGCTGAACTGCCACAAAAGCAGTGAGAAGAAGAGCACCAAGGACGAATAAACCAATTATTCTCCCATCGTCCCAGGCATAGGATGTGCCACCCCATTGAAGGGCAAGAAGGCCACAAATGATGCTAGGAACAAACAGTAACGTGCCGATTGGATCCAGTCGCCATATTATATCCAGGAATCCCAGATCTTTATAATTGGACGGTGATTCCGAGTGAAGTGTTAGGAAGAAGATGACAATGAGTGCGCTCACTGCACCAAGAGGGAGATTGATATAAAAGCACCTGCCCAGAATATCAGTGAAGGTAGAATGTATGTCACGAAAGGGCCACAGACCAACGCCATGTGAGTTTGTCTGTGAATACTCCTCCGATTAAAGGACCCACGACAGATGCCAGGCCATATATTGCACCACAAATGCCCTGATACACTGGTCGTTTATGGACGGGAGCTGAATGAGCAACAATGATCAAGCCACCAGTGAACACTCCGGCACATCCAAAACCAGCAATCGCTCTCTGTATTTTAATGGCATGGTTAATAAGTCAGAGATAGAAGTGCAACATTGAAACTTACTCCGGTGATCAGTGCAAGAGAACTAGGGGATGTGGCGCAAACGACAGATCCAAGCTCGAAGATGGACAGTGCCATGAGGAATATCATTTTGATAGGAAAACACGAATATAGTTTTCCGTAGAAGAGTTGGAAAGCACAGGTTGTCAATAAGTAGGCAGACCCATACCAGCCTATGTTCTGGAGTGCGTGGAACTCATCAGTAATGCGTGGAATCGCTGTTGCTATGATCGTGTTGTCCAAGGCTACGCAGAATACTGCAAGAGAGAGTGCGAAAACGATCAAGAAGATTTTCAAGCCAGTCGGGTATGCGATTTCACTCGGTCTGCCTTGGGCATTTTCGGTGTCAGTCGATTTATCTCCTGGTGTAGCCTTAATCAAAGAATCTAGCGTGGAAAAAAAGTGGTACAATGATTTGAAAAAGAAGGATGAATAGAGAAGTCGAGAAATTTATCGAAACATGAAATTCTATTTAAGGAAAAGTTTTAAGCGCGTAGGAATACGATCGACATAGGCTAATATATAATAATAACACCGAATTACAAGTGTTAATTTGTTTCGAAAGTACATGTTGTATCTGAAATTGTTTGACTGCAAAATTTCCAATCACTCCATATAAACTATTTTACATAATGGCTGCTTTGCAACCCTCCAAGACTTTCCCTTGCGAGAAACAGAGTCACGGTATCCTCACGTGAAAACTCTTGTACTTGCCTACCCTGCTTGGGCGAGCCCCACTCGTATACGTCTCGCTTGGAATCCGTAGGCATGTGCGCTCACGCACGAAGAGGGTCATACAGAACATCCTGACACGTGCCACAGTGCAACTCTGTAGTTCAGGGTATCTTGCAACAACCACAACGTTTACAAGAGGATTTAGGAATGGTCCTTGGATAGATTTGGTTCAAAGCTGCTCAGAAATTAAATGAATACATTACTATTTTCCAAGCTTTCTAACTTTCCAATGCTCTGCTCTGTCCAAGCCATGTCGTCGTGAGGTCGTAACACCGTTTTGTCATCAATTTAGCTCCAGCTCCAAAGTTATCGCTGGAATGCCGGTGAAATTGGCGGGCATCGTGTAAGTGAAGTTCCAAAATTCAAAATCGCTACAACCTATATTAGTACTGTACTCAATAAGTCATTGCAGAAGACTCACTTGATGACTGTATAAGCACCACCATATGATCCAGCGAAGCCAACGGTATACGACATATTGACATTACCAGATACATGGACAGAGAGACCTTGAACATCTTCCCAGCTTGTGACATCCTTCTTCGCTTTAAAGGGCGATACGATAAAAGAAAATATTGAATTCGCGTCTCCGAGGGGGTAGGTGAGATTCAAAGTATTAGCGCTGGCGACCGCTGTAACATAGGACTCAGTAGCGAACAGCTAGATAACCGTTAATAAGAAAATCTTGAACATTTAGATGGCACTCACATTGCACCACCCAACGCCATTTCCAGTATCCCACTGAATCACGGCTGGATTGAATGTATCAGGGTTCGTGGCGGGACCACCAATCACAGTCTCATTAAATGTTTCAGCGCCGATGCTAATATTAGGTGCAAGCCAAGCTGTAATGTTGCGAGGATAGATGTCGAAAGGTGGCGAGAACGCTGATGAAGTGAAGGTGTGCTCGCCAGAAAAATTGCTGAGCTTCGTGACGACGTCTGAGGGTATCATCGAATTTTGGAATTCGCCAAGAATGGCAAAGAGGGGACCGTAAGCAAAATCGGCGATATGAGACAGTGCCGGAGTCTGCGAATCGTCAGTAATGGCTAGCACTCTCACGAAGAGCTCTTACCTTGGGAATAATGGAAGATTTGTCTTTTCCGATGACATTCCACAAATGAAGTGCCATCAGGCTGAGGTATCTGTTCATGTCAAATCCATAGGATCGATCCCAAGGTCCTGCGATGTTCTTCAATTGTGGATGCCACAGTTGAGAAACTGCCTCCCATGTGTACTGCATCATTCTTGGTCCATTTTGTTTCATGATGGAATCCTCGGGTAGGTATTTTGACCACAGGCTGAGAGCGAACAGCGAAACTCCGGTATAAGTGCCGCTGTTAAATTCAGATAACGTGTTGGCACGATTGAAGAGTTTCAAGACAGCAGTTGCGTAATTCTCGCCTGCAGTAGTCATGTTTGAATCATGCAGCTTTCTGCCTGTCCATCCGGCAGTGAAGGCTCGCATCAGTGACTGCTGAGGTAAGTAAGAAGTCAATGTGTGTAGACAGAAAACTAACAGGATTGGTGTAAGCGGGGTATAAATTGTCCCCGTCTACGCCACCGACCCGGTATTCATCTCCCTTGGTTGCGTTGTATAGAGATTCAAGCAGGAGATTGGTAACGGAAGGTGTAATCAGATGTCCAAATTCCTCCAAACCAACGATGAACGCCGTGGAAATAAAGCCACGCCAGTTAGGATCCCAGGAATTGTACAGCTTCTCAGGATAGTATGAGGTTCCCACTGTTGGTTCTTCTGGCTCTTGCTGGTAATCACCATACCTAGATTTTGTCAGTATCCGACACTCAACGAATCCTTGAGGACCTACCATTGATCTGCCGGGTCCTTGAACTGTCCATTAATCACATTCGTGATGATGTCCATGGCGTATTCAACATCTTTGCCTTCATTTCGTGCCAGCAGGCCAATCGCGTACCAAGCCGAACTTCTTGTCTCGTGTCTTAATGCTGTAGCAGAGCTCTCATCGAAGAGATATCCTGCAGAAGGATCATAATACCCATCCATCCACGACATCGACTCCGTGAAGAGACTCTGGGAATAGTTCGACAGAGTTGAGACGTAGGACTTAGTATGAGCTGCTGCCGGAATGGCCAGCAACGAAGCCAATTGAATGGCTCTGGTGAGTGAGAACATGACGGTACGAGAAGAGACGGTGACTTCAGACAGCGCTGCTAGACCGCTCGAGTCTGAGGGAGAGGGGAGTATTTAAAGAAAGCACGCGACAGATGACATGAACTCCTCACGTCGCGTTTGTTATCTTTTTTTTTTTTTTAAATCCCACCTTGCTAGCATCGTCCACCCTCGGAGAACGAGTCAGAGTAGGCATCTCGCCAGAAGGTGTTCCCCGGTCTTGCCCATAGCGTCGGAATCCAGGGACAAGATCTACTCAGAGACCGGACACATGAATGCGATTGTGACGTTTTTTTCCTGTCAGCGCCGCGGGTGATGAGAGCAAGGCAGGGCAAGGCAGGGCAGATACCGCTGCACCAAGGATCGCTGCTTGTCAGGCACTGATCTGTGATTGATGGAGATTGTCCGGCCGAAGTTCAGCGAAGAACGCCGGTTGCGGGGTACTTCACTATCCTGACCGCCAAGAGCACGTTACATGGCGTTGGTACAGCAGGTCAATTGGCCGATCATGTGCGATCCGTGGCCATGAGTTTTTGGAGACTGAGGAATGGTACCTAGGTATGAAGATGGGATGAGCATGAAAGGTAACGAGGAGTGGGCAGAAATGGAGAGCAGAGTAAAGCAACAGATAGGGAGGAATTAGAAGAGAGACAGGAGAAAGAAGAAAACTTTGGAGGATGGAGAAGTGCTGCGGTGTTATGGCGTGGACATACGCGTTCCTTGCTGAAGCTCGGCATATTTGAGAATAGAGACCGGGCCATGATTCTCTCGCCTTAATTAGCCTGAGCAGAACGCAATGGTCCCTTGAAGAGGTATATAAAGAAACTGGATTTGAATGATGAAAACTTTGCTACACTGTTGATGCACGTGAGAGCTGAGAGACTAGAGAGATCAACATCCTGCTTCAAGTCTTTGGCATCTATGTAGTTTATTCGAAGACCAAAGTCATGATTCCATTGATTGCACCAGACCTCTCCAGTTGGTAGGTGCCCAAGTACTCCTTGTATCTGCAACTATTTGTAAAGCACATGAATGCAGATTCAGTTCTAGTTGATTGTGCCATAATTGTCTAGACATCCCAAAGCTGTCATGGTCCTACATCGTATTGGACATCTTTGGTGGTTCGATGTTTGTTTTGGTCGATAATATCGTCTAATCTTGAGTCTACCCTTCAAAGCCAGACATTGGAACAAGTATGAATTGTCCTGAATGGTGTGAGCACTTCACAGGCATCGAATCTTGGTTGGTATGGCGGATACTTGGACGGTGACTGAGAGGTAAGTAACATGTGGGGTGGCTATTGTGGTGATGGGAGGGCCCTTCTTGCTCACAGCTTTGGTGCTGGGCTTTCAAAAAGATTTGTAAAAGCAATGAAGACCTCCTCGGTCAAATCACTCGCCTGCAAACTTCTTCCCTTCTTTGCAAATGCCAATCTCGAGCATTCCTAATGTCTGTCAGCACCTTGGGAAAGACGAAGAAGGAACACTCACCCGCGTGACGGAGCTACCTCCGAATGCTGCCAGAGCCAGAAGTTCAGCCGAATCCAAATCTCCTTCGTGATCCCACAGTTTATCCAGATATGCCTTTCTCCAGCACAAAAATGTACCCAGACTTCCAGTCAGTGTATCTCCTTGCCCGCCACTTCTCTTCAGACCACCTTCAATGTCAGAGACCAGCGTCTTATCTCCATTCGAAATATAATCCTTTGCACCCTTCTGGATAATCGTCACGCCCCCAAAAGCGTTCGATAGCTTCTCTGCAGCCTTCCCATCATCCAACCCTGAGGTGTCAATCCCTTTACTCTTACACAGCCTCCCGAATTCCACCACATTCGGCGTCAATATACACTCCTTGTAGCCCTGTACTAATTCCGGTCTCGTTTGTGCCAGATTCAAACCATCTGCGTCCAACACAAATGGCATTTTGTTTTTCTTTGCAGCTTCAATAACTTTCGCACACGTATCCTGCATCAGTTGGTCCCGTCCGAGCCCAGGACCTATTACCAGTACGTGGAGGCGGGGTAGCATATCGATGACGGTCTTCGCAATTGCATCTGAAGATTCGCCCGAGCTCGCATGGGTCGTTTGTCGCATCAAGGGATGAACCATCAGATTTGGAGAATAGGTTTTAATGACTTGTGCAGCTTGAGGCTCGCAGATGACATGACTCTGGAGAATCTGGTTAGTGAAGGCGAATTGAAATACCGAGCAGCATACCATATCTGCACCCAGGCGAGCGCTGGCCATAGCAGAGAAGTATGGAGCTCCAGTGTAATCTTCACTTCCACCTATAACTGCTATCCTACCCATTTGTCCTGAGTGTGGTCAGTAGTGAAGCTGTAACATTGCGTGGTGGGGTAATCTCTGTACCTTTGTGGAATTTCTCCAGCATGGGAGGTACCATTTTTCGGACCTTCATCAGGATGTCTCTTGTTGCTTGAGACATCTTGGTATTTTCTGCAGACATTTGGGCGTGGAGAAAAAGTTGTTGTGTCTGAGGAGAGCAATGGAGACTTTCGCAATATTTTGGCTGTCAAGATGAGGTGAGGTGATGTCACCGGGGATTTCTGTTCACTGCCGAGATCACCTCTCCGTATAAAAAAATCTTCCAATTCAGCTTCACCCATCGCTGAGACCGTTAGACCGAAAATGTTGTAAGTACAGTACATATTTTTATATATCCGTATATATATTCTGTTGCAAGCGCATAACTTCGTCCTTCATTGATTCTGTCTTTCTCTGGTCACTCTCTCCGCACTTGCCAACGGTCCTGATAAACCAGATCGCGACTTCCGCTTGTTATGGAGAATAGGACGAGTGTCATCAAGCAATCAGTTCTTGTCTTTCCCGATCACTGTTTGCTTTATCAGTTATCTTTGCAGCGCGTATTCTTATTCATCGAGTCTGCAACTCTTCGACTTTGCGACACAATAGCTCAAGTCTAGTTTCCAAGTGCACACGGCCTGCCTTTCCCCGGTCCACAGCTGCCCCAAAAGGTGAATCGACCCGGACCGGCAACATGGAAGGCCAGTTCGAGAGGACTGTCTTTACACCAAAGACATATGTCAAACCTCTCCCATCGTTTGCTTCACCTTCCGAGTACTCCGACTCCTCGAGATCCTCGGACATCGTACCGATCATCGATCCCCGAGCGGCGCCGCAAGCTGATGTCCCCTTTTCGGGATGGGCGAGCAAACATCTCAGCCCCTATCAAGACTTAAAAATACTGTCATGCGAAATTTGCACGCCAGCCAAGCGAAGAAGTTGGTGGTCCATTGTGTTTCTTGCAGTTTGTGCCAAGAGGGGGTGTGAGCGTTGCACTCTTCGACTTCTAGGCATTTTCAAGATAATACGTAGGTATTGAAGAAGCTCCGTTCTCCATTTCCTTTCCAGAGACATTGTCTTATCCTTCTCCTGAAATGACCATAGAAAGATAGTAAATGCTAACTCCCGTGACCTAGAGCGGGACAGAATTGGACCAGACTTAGTTCACACTCAAGTTCACTTCCAGGACTCTATCATAACCTTGAGGCATCACCCAGAAGTACCCGGGCTGGAAAAACAAGTCTCCTGGGTGCCTTTCTTTCCTTGGAATCGTCAATCGATCAAAGTCGAGCTTTACGCATCCCCAGACCGCCCAACTCTCGGCTGGGAACCCGTTTTTGGAGTGGGTCGAGATGTGATGGAATGTAGGAAGAAAAGTTACACCAGACTAGTTTTCAAGTGGCTTGTTGCTTGCTTGGTAAACCACCCACTCTGTGGCTATGACTTACAACCTTTGCCTCCTTTGATTATCGATGTAGGGCCAGAAGGTTCGACCTCCCTACGCTTATGCGGCTCGCTTGGAGTGCGTAAGCCTTATGTGGTCCTCAGTTACTGCTACAGAAACTGGTGGAGAGCTCCAACTACCACAAGAGAGAGCCTACGGCGCCATGTCGTCGATATTCCTTTCCATGGCTTGCCTCCAGTTTTTCAAGATGCTGTCCAGGTTGTTCGAAATCTGGGTTTACGCTATTTGTGGACCGATTCTCTATGTATGGTTCAAGACGACGAGCATAATCTTTCGAACGACATTCGTGACCTGGCATCTGTCTACAAAAATGCCGTTTTTGTCCTTGGCGCTTATAGATCTCATCATGTGAAAAATGGCAGCGATGAGGTTGGATTGTTGCCTACAGTTTACGATCCTCTCCGTGGTTACCAGTTTGCTGACGTCGAAAACATTGACGGTTCCATCACCCAAGTTTCGGCCCGTCTTCTTCGAAACCCACACGGTCTTTACTGTGGCGTGTCTCGTTCGACCAAATACGGGGTTTGGTCACGGCCTTGGGCATTACAAGAGCAGCTACTGTCTTCTCGTATGATACATTTTACAGAGGGAGAACTGATCTGGGAGTGCAACAGTCTGGTAGGCTGTGAGTGCATGGAACTTGACCGTCCTGGTCGTATGAAGTCTGCGTTGCACAAGAAGGCATGGTACAACAAATTGCTGAGACAGCCAATGTGCGACGAGTTCTACAAATTCTGGTGGTACATGCTCAGTCAGTACTCAGGTCGTACTTTCACTTGCGGGGAGGAGGTCCTTTTGGCTATCTCTGGATTGGCAAGTCAGATGCAGAAGCATGGTGCAGGACAGTATATTGCTGGACTCTGGAAGAATGACTTGCCACAAAACTTACTTTGGGACCGCCACAGCCCAATCATTCAGCCTCCCAAGGACTACATTGCTCCATCAGTAAGCCAGATCCAACCACCTTGCAATCCCAAGTCCAGGTTCTTATTCCTTTTGTTTATTCCTATCCAACGTCACTAACACAATACAATTTAGTGGTCGTGGGCTTCACGTATTACTTATCCTCATGAAATCCACGCAGACAACCCCAATTATGGTGAGTTAGGTCCAGCCTACCAAATCGTGAACGCGGTACACAAAGAGGATTTGGCAGGCGTCTATGCGGAGGTGCTTGACGTAAAAGCCATTCCTAAGTCGGGAAATCCATTTGGAAGTGTGCGTTCCGGTCACATTACCCTGAGCGGGCCTCTCATCAAAGCAAAATTCCGTGAGCATCCCCTAGTATATAACAAAGGTACAAAGCGTGCCAAGTCAAGCATGATCTGTCCACTGTTTCCTGACGGTACACCCGTATGGACATGCCCAGACTTTGATCCCATGCCATTCGAGGTAGAAGACGAATTACTCCTGCTATTGGTTGCCAAAGAACGGGGCAAGTCGAGGAAGAGGAGATACATGAGGTACAAAGGTTTGATGTTGGTGAAATCGAAGACTGGTCCTTATCATGAAAGGATTGGGACGTGGGAAGTACCCGTATTGAATGAGTATAATGATATCGAGGCGAGTGACTTCTTCCAGGGCGCCAAAGAAGGCATCGTTAGAATTGTATAGATAGAGAGCCATGCGTAGCGGCATTTTCAGTAGTTTGAGCGGTCTAGTGTTATACATTCTGCTAGTACAACTGGTACCTGGCACCAAGGGATGACGCTACATGCGGTCACTCGGGACATTTGTGTACACATTAGAGTTTCTCCTCCCGAGCTCAAATAAAACGATAGGCATACGAACTATTCTTCAGACTGTAATTTTCCTTATTTGTAGTTCTGAGTATATGTCCCTCATGAATACTTCTCCCGAAGACTTCCAGAAATCAATCCCAAGTTTCATTGAAACAACAATTCGCTTCTGCTTTCTCGCAACAACTCTTGATCCATTGTGCCAGTTTATCAGGGAGAGTGACTTGAGGGAAATGCTTGCAGTCTAAAAGCTGCACATCGATCCCACATTTCGAAGCAAGGACTACATTTTCGAAGAAGAACGCCATATGTGACTGACCACCTACACTCCATGAGATTCTTTTTGTGTTGTCTTTCACAACTGCTTCCCAATTTTCGTTTTCGAGGACTCCGGCGTAGTGTCGGATCCAGGTGACGTAGTTCTTTTCTACTTGGTGTTAGTATTTCCTTCGTTCCTATCAGAGATAGAGAGGCTACCGAGTCTCTCATGATACTCCTCCCCAAGCGCATCCCATGCCTCGGGATCACCGACCATCGCGTCTCTGAAAAGCACCCTGCAAGAACTCACAACAGCCTCATCACTCTGCTCCTTCAGTGCGTACACAAAGTCGGGCGCGCCGAACGGCACTTCGTGGATAACAATATTCCTCACTCTCTCAGGGTAAAATTTCAAGATTGCAAGTGCAGCAAGACCTCCCGAAGAACAGCCCCAGAATGCAGCAGCTGGGATGCGTAGATAGGCCATAAGTTCTGTGATTTGAGTGGCAATCTTGCGGAGGGAGAGAGCAATTAGGGCCGTAGGGCCAGTGGTTTGGGAAAAGCCGGGCATATCAAAGGTTGTTGTAGCATAACTAGTCCTAGCCCTAGTCTTAGATTAGTCAGCACGATCTGCCTTAAGGCAGATCGAACACCTCTTAATGCAAGTCAGTCATCTCCACATTCACTTTTCGCCCCAGTTGTGATGTGGAAGTGTGGGGAGAGCAGCGATAGAAGGGTCTCAAAGACGAAGCTATCGCCCTCGCCGGAGGGAATTAGGACTAAATGTGGGCTCGAAGGAGATCCGGATTGGCGAACAAGCCAGGAGAGACCATCTGGTGTGTTGATCGTTGAAATTCTGGACATTGGAGCTAGATGAAGGTGTATGCCCACGTGACTAGGTGATTGAAAAGCTGCTGGAGCTTGTGATTCGTGATGTGGTCTAGTGGAATGCAGGCTGCGTCGGATTAGTTGCTGCTGGGATTTCAAGTTTCCAAATTATGATGTCTGAAAGCAGTTACTAATTGCTGTAGAATTTTGACGTAAATCACGATCAGCTTTCGGCTGGATAACCAATAAGGTTAGTTGTTAATTCCTGAAGGAGTCTTCGTCAGCAGGGTTTCTCTAGTAACTCTGCAAATACCTTCGAAAACTTGAAGTTATTCCAACCTCCTTCTATTATTTCAATTCTGAATGAAAAGGCCCCCACTCGAACTCCAAGGTTTAGAGAGTCTAAGGCCAAGCTGACAAGTGAAGAGCACTTGCTCGAAAACAGGCACTACTAAGGGTCAAGATCACTCCAAGTTAAAGTAGATGCAGCACCGAGTTCATTCGCCAAAGCTCTCCTGTCTAGTACATAAAGTTTCGTACTCTAGTTCTAGGAGTACCGGTCAAACTCGACCCCATTTCCCCCCCCTTTTTCCCATTATTCCAAGCCTTCACAACCTGTTCATATCTTGTTTTACTTACAACATCATCATGCCCGCAGCAACGATGATGATTGTAGATAGAACACCAGTCTGGGCAGTCACCATGCCGGCTCCGCTCTTCGCTGTGCTTGAAGCGGAAGCTGCTGAAGCTGCAGACGAGCTTGCGGCGGCTTTGGCTGCTTTGGTATCTATTTGTTGTTAGCATCGAGTCTTGATGTCAGAGTTTTGAATACATACCAGACTTGGAAGCTTCCTTAGCTGACTTGATTGAGGAGCAGGCATCGACAAGTGTGGTGTTCGATTGAAGAGTGGCAAGCTTAGTCGCGGCAGCAGACGCCTTGGTTTGAAGTTCAGCAGCCTTCGTAGCATTTCCCTTCGTCTTCTCGTCGACCTTGGTGGTGTTTGCGGCGAGTGAGACGAGCTTGGCCAAGGTGGTCATGGTGTCGCAATCATCCTCAGTGTCTTCGGCAGCAGAGATAACAGCACAGGTGCTGACCAATGTCGTATTTGATTGCATAGTGGCTAGAGTGGTAGCAGCGTCTGAGGCCTTGGATTGGATTTCGGCAGCCTTAGTAGCGTTCCCCTTGGTCTTTTCATCCAATTTGGTGGTGTTGGCGGCGAGAGCAACAGTTTTCTCGAGACTGGCCATCTCTTTGCAAAGACTCTTGTCTGTGACTGCCTTGGTAGTCTTGTTGCCCTTGGCGACAACGGCGGTGGAGAGGAGGAGAGTGAAGAAGAGGTTGGTGAGTTGCATGTTGGCGGTTGAAGATTGAAGATGCGCAAAAAATGTTTGAAGTACGGATTTAGAAAGGATAAGATAAAACGGACCGGCCGAAGTTCAAGAATGTAATGATTGAAGTATGAGAAGATAATGGGGTGATTTCCAGATGGTGTTTTGGAGAAGAAACTCTGGTTCCTCTTATAGAGATTCGCATCCTCCCAGCCATCTCGGCTCAGTACTGTCTTTGCCTCAATTTCCCCACACTTTCCGCCAAGGCCAATACACGTCAAGCTCGTCGATGGAACGTCTTTGCTGAGTTTGATATGCTGTCCCAGTCGGGGTCGAACTTCTGGTCTGCACGTTTGGAAGATAAAAAAAGAATTGAATGCACAGATATCAGACTGATCGTCTCAGTAAAACGCCACGTAAGATCCGCATGCAGGCAATAAATTCACGAAGCGACACATCTATCGCGCACATCAAACTTTCTGAGGGCACATTGTAGCCGAGGAGTTTCGCTGATGTGTGCGGTGTTTATTCTTGCGCAACGATCAGCTCGTGGATCAAACGGTCCACATGGTTGGTTGAGTCGAGATCTTCGAAACGTCTGGTGTCGGGAATATCCCAAAGTTGGGATGAGAATTGGACGGCGTGCTGTTTTTGGTGCTGTCCGTGGCACTTTTCGCGCATTTAAGACATAACCTTTCTGAAGCATTTTAACTCTGAGAAGGTGTAAAATTATCTTCGCGGGACGAAAACAGCAGCTAACAAGATCGTTCTGCTCTGCTCAAAAATCACGAGCCCGGCACCGAAACAATGGGAGATTCGTTTGAAGTTGAGCTCACCGCGGTAATCTGTAACAGATACCCTGCTCTTTTCCTGAGGCTCACGGCCATGCAGGGGTAACATTTCGCGAGGATCCGCTGCCACGCAAGTCACTCTCCACTCCTTTATTAACGAACATGGGGACAAAAGTCCGTGCGTTCAGGGCATCAGAATCATGAATTTTATTAATTAATTAGCTGTAGACCAGCCACATCGCTTAATTAAGTCGTGTACCCAGAAGTCCTGCTGCTCAATAAGCCCATTGATCCATTCCTGAGGAATTTTGTCCCATTCTTCTAATACT